CCTCAAAGGCAAGAGGCCACCCTCCGCACACGCACCAAGCATCCTCGGCCAGATCGGAGGCCGATATCTCCTCGAACTCGCCAGAGGCCTCGAGTCCCTGGGCCCCCACGGCTCCAAGGGCCTCGAGACTATCGCGGTGCAACAGCGGGCACGAGCCAAGCAAAGCGGCGTCACGGGCACGGACGTGCCCAGGATGTCTGAACCGCTCACGCTCACGCACTCGGCCATAGCGGGAGGTAGTGCTGGCCCCCAGCGCGCGTAGGCACACGCCGAAGCCCTCCTCGCAGGCGTCCGTGGCGCAAGCAATGCCGTTCCAGTCCAGCTCCCACGACGCCACCAGCATGATCATAAGCCCCAGAAAGCACTTCAGCTCCTGCCGAACGCTCGCCCAGAGCTCAACGGGCACGTGGTAGTTGCTCTGTATGAAGCTGTAGACGGCGCTGAAGCACGTGAGCGTCTCCCGGCGTATCAGTCCCGCGAAGGTGCAGTGGCCGACCACGATCTCCACGGCCCGACCACTCACGAGCCTACGTCGAAGCAGCCCGCGTATCCCTTGCCGAAGCCGCCAGAAACGCTTACAGCTGAGGTGGGTGTGGCGGCGGTTGGCGTCCAGCACCACCCCCAGGGCTTCGATCTCCCCCTCCGTGATCTCCAGCTCGTGAGTCTTGAGCCCGCGGGACTCGAAGCTGCTAACCAGGCGCTCCATGGTCTCCTCGACTATCTTTCGCCCACCACCGAACACGCCCACGTTGTCCACGTACACGTAGTGCCGAATCTGAGCCCCCCCTCGGAGGCAGCGAAGCAGCAAAGGGCGCCCGTGATCCACCAAGAGCTCACACCAGTCGATCACCGCGGCGGTGGCCTCCTCGTCGATGTCCTGGGCGAAGAAGAGCGACCAGGTGAAGCCCATGGGCAGCGCGGTCGCCAGCGGCACCACCTCTGAGCCAGGCTCCACCTCGACACCCTGCACACGATGTATCCCGATCTCCGATGCCAGCACCGACGGGAGGCCAAAGTACTCGCACAGGTGGTCGGGCATCTTCATGCGGTGGAAGGCGTCGGACACGTCCACGGTCCCGACAGCTAGCTGTGACGCCCCCTCCAGGTCCCCCTCGACCTCGATGTTACCGAGGCCCTCAGCTGTCAGGAGGCTCACGTGCGGGGGGGGTCGGAAATGTGCGTTCGTCCTGCGGGCATCCAGTATCATCCTGAGCTGCCCCGACTTCTTCTTCACGAAAAACAGCCCGACCTTCTCGCGACAGCACGACGAGAACTTCACAAGCCCCCTGCTGTGCAGATCCTTCAAAAAGCGAACATATCTCCTCCGATTCCGCGTCAGGGCGGGATCAACGCAGCAAGGAATTTCATGCAACTGAGCCTCAGTTAATTGTTCATCGGCAGCCAGGCGCATTCGCTCTCCCTCCCCCTCCAGAAAATACCGACCTCGGGCGCCGACGAGCTCCTCGATCATCTTGCAATCGTTCGTGTCCGAGGGCAGCGACACCAGGTCATGCCTGAAAGGGGCCAGAGCCGTTGAGGAGGGGTCGGCGTCGGTGTAACCGCCGCCCCTCCCTCGGAGCAACTCCATCAAAGCCGCCTCCGTGGTGAGATGCCGAGCCTTCTCGCTACTGGGCTGCTGGAGCTGGGCCAGCCCCTCCAGGTAACGTCTCGTAGAGTCCGCCATCTCCGACGCCAGGCCGAAAGTCGACTCGATGTCGCCCTCCGTGTCGTGTCGTTGATGCGGTGCCCGCTCATCCAATTAAGTGCATCGGTAGCCTCTGCCACCAGCGTGGGAAGGACCTCACGCGCGCGATCCTTCCGCCGTTGCTTCTTGGACCGCCCGACCCTACAAACTGGGTCGACATGCAAGGGTGGAAGCGGAAAGAGCCGCCGCCTCCCTGGGGCCGCCTGGCACGGCCCGCCCCCGACACTCAGCAGGCCGCGACGTGGGGACTTCTCGTCGCGGCCCGTCTCCATCATCATGGCTTGTCCGCGGGCACACCACGCCCTCCACGTGATGTCCCGCGTCCTTCTGCGCGCCCACGGCCTCGACCGCGACCGCGGCCGCCGACGGCGTCCCCTCCTACCTGGTCCTCCGCCTCCTCGGGCATGACGCCGCCGCTCAAGGCCTTGGTCCTGGTCACGTAGTTGTCGTGCTCGTCCTTGTAGCGGCGGATCCCCCACGAGCGAAGCCCAGGGTCCACCGCCTCGAGGCCTGACCCCACGCCCTCGTACACGTTCGCGAGCTTCCAGTTGGGCGCGGCCTGGCCACTGTAGGCATCGATGATCGCGACCACTCGGCGCCCGAGGCGCTCGGCTCCCGCCAGTGAAGGCAGGTTCACCTGGTCGTGGGTCGCGAAAAGGTGCAGCGCCTTCACGAGAGCCTGGAGCTCGTGCGTCACCCTGTCCGTCTTCCCGATGTTGTTGTCCCTCAGGAAATCCACCAACCACTTCTCCAGATCCCCATGGCGACGCTCGGCGTGCAGCAGAAGGTGTGAGAGACAGCACGGCCCGTCGATGTCGCGGCAGTCCAGCGGCTCCTGCGTCATCTCGGCGGTGAACTTCCTGAAGCTCTTATATCGCCGTCCCTGCTCATCGTAGTCCACCCAGAGCGTGCGTCCGTCGTCTTCGTCGCCACTGGGCTCGCCGACCTGAGCCCTCTCGTCCTTCTCTCGCAGCTCTCCTACGCCCTTCGGGTCCCTGGTCTCCGTGCCTGGCGGGTTGGGAGGCGCCGACCGATCGCCGACCGAGACGCTCCCAGGACCCAGGCGCTCCGCCTCCTTCTGGGCAGCCGCCAGCCCGCGCTTCTTGAAGGCCTCGATCTCAGAGGGTCTCATCAAAATCACCTTCAAGAAATCGTCCTTCACGTGGGCGAAACCGACGCCCTCGCTGTGGGTGATGTCCCCCTGCCGCAGCTCGATTGTGTCCCCGTAGCGGTAGTCGTCGTTCCCCATCTCGGCGATCACCCAGCTCTGACCCTCGGGCGGCGCCATCGGCGGGGTTCGAGTCCCGTCGACAGCGACCACCGCCACGTCCTCGGAAGGCGCGCCATGGGCGGATGCTCGCAGAGGCAGGCGTCGGGTGGGCACGATCACACCTTCGGCCGACAGCATCCGCGGCACGGCGGGCGGCGCGAATCCCAGCTCCTCGTAGGTCGCCAGGCTCGACGATAGCTCCCGCCGTATGGCCTGTGTGGACGGGTAGTCCTCGGGGTCGAACTTGTAGAAGTACCCGCGCAGGGGTCGAGGCACCTCAGCGCCGTCGTTCATCAGCACGAACTGCTCGACATCCATGTTCCCCTCGCTGTACTGCTCCTCATAGATCATGAGATCGGGCGTCATGCTGCGCCAGATCGTGCTCTGTCCTGCGCCGCTGGCACCGACGGGCCCAAGCAGAACCCGCTCGTGATACAGGTCCTCGCCCGCCTCCGCGTACTTCAGCCCGACCGACCGCCCTGGGATCAGCTCACGCGCGAACTCCGCGGCCGAGAAGGGCCGGCCGCGCTGGTCCAGGAACCGCCCCACGGGCAGCCTCGCCATCGCCTCGACGCAGCAGGCGCCCGCCCAGCTGACCGATGAGCGCCGACGCCAGGTGCCCCGCGATCACGCCCGCCCAAGTGGGCCCCGACTCCGCCTCCGCGGGGCAGGGCTCGCACGGGGCGCAGGGGCCCCCGGCCGCCAGCGGCGGCGGGCACTCGGCCACCGCCTGAGCGCTCGCCGAGAGGTTCTCGGCGGCGTCCTGCAGGCGCTCAAGCACCTGCGCGCGGCCGAGCTGCTCGCCGACCTCGCGGCTCCGCTGCTCCAGCGTCGCGAGCAGCCACAGCACCACCAGGGCGGCGCGCATCGCAAACCTATGATGAAGAAAAAAGCGAGGCTTGAGCACAAACGGTTGCGCGTACAGCGCTGCAAGAGGACTGGCAAGCTGAGACGGTTTCCGTTTAGGTGGACATGGAGGGGTAATCAGGGCCCGACACTCGAAAAAACCTCAGCACGTCATTATCGTGCTACGCACACCCATCATCATCAGCAGCATCCTCATCATTGTCAGCATCATCATCGTCATTAACATCATCAGCAGCGGCAGCAACATCAGCATCGGCATGAGCATGATCATCATCATCATCATCATCATCATCATCATCATCAGCATCCTCATCATCATCATCAGCATCGCCATCGTCATAATCGTTATCGCCATCGTCATCATCATCATGACCATTATCATCATCATCATCATCATCATCATCATCATCATCACCGTCACCACCACCATAATCATCATCGTCGGCATCACCATCATCATCAGCATCAGCATCATCGTCATCATCATCACCAAATCCATCACCATCACCCTCTCCATCACCATTGCTATAATCATCATCACCAGCAGCAGCACCATCATCATCATCAATATCGTCATTGTCATCGTCTTGGTCGTCATCATCGCCATCGTCCTCGTCATCAACCTAATCATCTTCGTCGTCATCATCATCATCATCATCATCATCAGCATCATCATCGCCATCGTCCTCGTCATCAACGTAATCAGCTTCGTCGTCATCAGAATCATCATCATCATCATCATCATCATCATCATCATCATCATCATCATCATCATCATCATCATCACTATCATCCGTCGGGACCCCCTGCCCCCCTGGATCAGAAAGGGTACGAGGCGCCCCTCGGCCCTCCCGACCGCTCTGCCCTCACCCGGGTGCTCTGCCCGCCTCCTCGTCCCTGTCGCGCGCGCCGCCGCGCGGCCGCCCCCCCCCCACCGCCTTCCAACCATACGACGAGCTCTGCACCCAGGACTTCCCGTCGGGCCCCCCCGCCCCCCTGCCCCAGCGGGGGGGGGAAGGGCACGAGGCGCCCCGCCCCCCCCCCCCCCCCCGCGGAGGGCGGCAGTCGCAGGCAGCGGCAAGGGGGTGTACTGGACAGGGGGGCAGGAGGATGCAGGATGCCGGGAGGAGGCACGAGGAGGCGGAGAAGGCGCTAGGCCTGGGGTTGCGGATCGCCCTCTCGAGCAGCTTGTGGTTCTTGGCCTCGCGGCGAGGCGGGAACGGCACCATCCACCGCGTCCCCACGCCCTGCGGTACCCTGAGCCACCCAGAAGCCTCCCCTCATCCTCGTCCAAATCCTGAGCGACAGTGGACGACGACGACGACGACGACGACGAAATGATTGTCCCTGGGGGTCTCCATGGGCTACGGGGCATCTGGGGTTCCTACCCAGAGCTGGACGCCTGGAAACGAGCACCAACACCAACACATGGGTGTTGCGCCCATCAGAGGGAGTTGATCCTGGATGTTGGGCCTTACGCAGAATGCATCTGTGCACCGCCACCGAGCCAAACCAGGGCCATCCTGGCCCTGGAATGGTGTAGACGCCCTCCTGGCCGAGGCCAGGACCTGGGGCCCAGGACTACCCTGGCCTGGCACGGTGGTCGTGTATAGACGCCTTCGTCCGAAATCTTTCGTCCACCCAGGAAGCCCAAATCTTACAGGGCTGTTTTTAACACATGAGATGATTTAAACATATGGGATTTGTAGTACATGATTAATTCATGAATAAATGTATGCATGGACTCGTCGTTGTTTGTAATACTAAATCCCTGCATTTCTAATACATGATCCGCACGCGGATCATGTATTAAAAACGGCACTGTACCACCATCACGGGGATCGGGCTCATCTCCCCTCGATGGAGGCACACCGCCAGTATTGGTGGTGTCAAACCATTGGCCTCCGACAGAGTCCTCTGGAACTCTGGAGCACAAAGGCCGTGGCGCGCTCGGCTGCCAGTGGGCCCCACCGTGCATGGCGTGTTCCATACAGCTGTCCCTGGAACTCCCGACCCCGTTCCTGGGGGTTGGCGATTTCTTCCTCCCTGATCGTTGTGATGGCCCCCGGAGCGCTGCACTGGAGGCAGACCGTGACGAAGAGCCGCTGTCCAGGGGTGCGCTCCGACCAGAACTCCGATGGGGATCCAGCCGTGTCCACGAGAGTGCTCCAGGAAACCGACGACACGCCAAGCATTCCAACCTCTGGATCGTCGATCGCGGGCAGCGCGTTTCACAGAGAAGGTCTGGGAACCCAGCCGCCCGACGCGGACACTTTTTCCGTCGGCGGCGAGGCGGAGGCGATCCGCACCAGCGTGAGGCCGCTCCCACGCACTTTGAGCTCTCCGGTGCCCGACGCGGGCTCGATGCCGATTCGACGCCGACGTTCGAAAAGGGTTCGACATGAAATCCATTCGGATAGCGGCGAGCTGGGACACAAGAGGGGACGTGTCGACCCCTGTCCAAGGCTTCGTAGAAAGTGTGGGCCCAACCCTGGGATGTACGATTGGGGGGGCGTCCGTGCTCGATGGGGGTGCGTCCGAATATAGCCCCCTTGGGGTGCACCCCAGGGTTCCCCCTTTCCTGAGCGACCGAACTTATTGAGCGGAACCCGGGGATCGGGGGAAACAAATCGCGTGCGAGGACAGACGTAGTCCCCCAATGCACACAGCCTCCTACACAATGAAAGATGACGGGGCCCCGGCGCACAAAAACCATAGCACACAGATCCCAGGATGTCCCATCTGCTCTCGTCTTCTCTGGATTTGTGCGTCGTCCCCCTCCACTTCCCATATTTTCTCATAGCTTCCTGGAAATCGGCGATTGCTTGCGTCTGTGTGGTATCTTCCTCTCTCCAAGGTTAGGTCGGGCATGTCCCCCTGCATCCGGATCTTGGACGAAGAGTAAACAATTGTCAAACCATAGTCCCAAACGTGGCTTCGAAACAAAAGTCGTCCCCATACGATTGTGTTGACTCTGCTTGGATACCCCTCCTGCAGAGGGACCTGCCCACCTCGACGCCGAGGTCGGGAGCCACACCGCGGGCCGCCGTCCAGCCCCGGCCGCGGGGGCGGGGCCCCGCCGGGCGGCCGAGGGCGCCCTCCTCGCCGCACGGGCTGCGGGCGGAGCCCCGCGCCCGTCGCCGCCCGTCGCGTTTTTCGGGGCCGGCGGGCGCGCTGCTTGCGTGGACGCGCGGAAGGGGTACAGCCGGGTTGCTGAAAGAAGGAACACTAAATAAGGCTCGAAGCCCCTTCTTGGCCCTGTAAGCGCCTCCGTGCCCCAGGAGGGCAAGAGGAACAGCAATGGAGGAACTTAAGGAACATCGAGCCCCTTCGGAAGCCAAACTGTTCCTTATTTCAGCGTCTTGACTGTACGGGAAGAATGGGTACAATGCCCAACAGCAAATGTTGTCCCAAACCAATGGCGGCCGCTGTTGGGCAGGCGGCCGTTTCTCGAATGGGCACAGGCCGCGGCGGCGCAGACAGCGAGTCCTGTTCAAAATGAACAGGAACTGCTGTTGGGCATTGTGCCCAGTCTTTCGGTACCCATTTCGTTCGTGCCGATCTTAACCAGCCTCGAACGCAGCCCTACAGTCAACCCGTATAACGTTTGGCGCTCCGCGCGGATTTCTTGGATCTGCCCTGGACCGCGCTCCCTGGCGCGCGGAGCGCGCCAAGCGCGGCGCCGGAGGCGCCGCCGGGGGCGCCCCGGCCCATACCCAAGAAATCCGCGCGGAGCGCCAGAAGTTTATGTGCATGGATATTCTCCTTCTGCGGAACGCAGCCCTACAGTCAAAAGCTTAATTCTCCTTAGGATGTTTTTTCTTCTTCGATGTTCGGAGCCCGGCGGGCGTGTCACAGCAGGCCTCGAGCCCAGCCCTGCAGCCAACCTGTAGCATGAGGGCGCGCGGTCGAGGTGGTCGCCCGTCGCCGCCCGTCGCGATTTTCCCGGAGAGGCCGGCGAAGCGTGCCTCGCCACCAGGCTCGAGCGTGCCCCGCCGGTCGGGAGCAGCAGGCAGAAGCTCGCCGTCGCTCGGACGTCCATGCCCTGTGCTTTTTTTCGGTTTAGTGCGTGGATTTTCGCCAAATGATCAAGGATGCTCCTCGATGGCCCTCGCCGAAGGAAAAATGCACACGTCCGAGCGATGCCAAGAAAGCACGAAACAGGAAGGCGCCGAAAATAGGCTGGGCCTGCGGCTGCCCTGCGGACGAAAGGCGGGACGAGGGAGGCCCCTCGATCCTCGAAGCAGGAGGGCGCCCAAAGTAGGCTGGGATCTGGGAATCCAAACATGCCTGCTCTCAACGACCATCGGGTACCACTCCAGTAGTCAACCCGTATCATGAGGAAACGCGGTAAGGATGCGAGGGGCAAGGCATTGGAGGGCCATGTTGACGTTTTTCGAGCGAGGTTGGCCAGCGAAAGTCGCGCAGGACGGGCCGAAGGGGCAAGGATGCAAGGGTAGCTTTGGGAAGTTGCGCATCCTTACTACGCGGGTTGACTGTGTCCTTAGGAACAGCAAGCCAAAGGCGACGACAGTCTTAGGGGTGCGCCCTCAGAAACCGAGGGAAGCCTCACAATCGGCACCGAGGCAAGGCGATGCCACACATAGGGATAAGGATATGTTTAGGGGGGCGAAAAATGGCACAAACAAAAAACTAGGCGGTCTGCGCGAATTTCTTGGATCCGCGCTGGAACCCCCTCCCTGCGGCGCCGGAGGGGGGTCCAGCGCGGATCCGAGAAATTCGCGCAGACCTCCGAATTTCTGTGTTTATGCCATTTCTCATTCTCCAACTTGTTTCGGGCTGGAGATTTCCGGAGGTGCTCAGCGCCACGTCTGCGGCCCAGAAGGCTCTTGGCCGGGGCAGGGCGCGAGGGGGGAGGTGGGCTCGGCCTCCCGGGAGGGCCGAGGGCCTCTTGGAGGGAGGAGCGCGGAGGCCTGTGCCTCCTCCTCCTCCTCCTCCTCCTCCTCCTCCTCTTCCCCCTCCTCAGTTTGGCTCAAGCGGTCGCACGGCGCCGTCGTTTCGCCGCCCCTTCGTTCCACGTCGGGGCCGCTGCGGGATGGTGGCGCCTAGAGGGGCTGCCGACGCCGCTGTCCTCGTCGAGGCGGCGGTTCGGGCAGCTGTGCAGGGTCGCGCGCCGCGCCGCACGGTCGCGGCAGTGGCGCGGTCGGCACTTTCGGCAGCGCTCTTCGCGCTCCGAGAGGCGCCGCCCGCCGCCGCGCCGCCGCCCGCGGCTGCAGCCGCGGCCCCTGCAACGGAAGGCGCTGCCGCTCCCAAAGCCCGCTCGGCGGCCTGGGTGGAGCGGCGGCGACGACGCCGCCAGCGCCTCGCGGCGCGGCGGCGGGACGGCGCTGACGCTGAAACTGCGCCTGGTGGCGAGCGCGCGGCCCTGGCCGCGCCGCCGCCGCAGGCTGCGGCCGATGCCGACGGCGACGACGTGATGGAGGACGACGGCTGGGCCGACGGCCTCGTGCGGGGAGGGGCGGCTGCCGCTGCTGCGCCGCCTGCCGCGGGCTCGGAGGCGGAGCTGTGCGACCTGGTCGCGCGCCTCTGCGCCCTGAAGTCCGTGGAGGACCCCATGCCCGCGTTCGTGACTGCCCTGAAGGCGCTCGGCATGGACGAGCTGCGCAGGGAGATTGGCTGCGTCGGCGTCGCGGGGGAGATCGCCGGCTGGACGCGGTCCTCCTGGCGCTCCTCAACCCGGTGCGCGGCGGGGGAAGCAGCGGGAGGGTCGGCGATGATGTCTTGCCCCGCGCAGGGGCGAGGCCGCCTGCCCCTCCCCCCCCGCCGTGACATGGACTTCGCCTTCGGCGTGGTCCTCGTCGTGTTCTTCTGAGGCAAGCAACAGGGGTCCGTGCTTGGACTCCGGTTCGACGTCGCTCCGCTCCCCTCTTCTTCCTCCTCCTCCTCCTCCTCCTCCTCCTCCTCCTCCTCCTCCTCCTCCTCCTCCTCCTCCTCCTCCTCCTCCCACTCCTCCTCCTACCAGAAAACCCAAACCGAACCCGAAGACGACCCACATTTGTTCGGGTTGGGAGGGGTGGGGGTACGGGTTCCACACGTGTCTCTTCGGTGTTCCCCGACGCCCCCCCCCCCCTTGGGAATGGAGGCCAATGGGGGCGTCCGGGTTGGGTTGGGGTGGTTTGGTCGTTAGTGGAGAGGGGCTCGGAGGCCTGTACGTCAGACGGCGGAGGACGAGAAACGCATTACTGCATTCGCGGCCACAACGGGCGTTATGGAGGGGAGGGGGGAGACGGGAGCGGGCATAACGTAGCGCCAACCCGAAGCCTGTGGTGCCCGACGCACTGCGGCGGTGCCGGGGACGCAAATATTCGTAATGGGGGGGACGGGGGGAGGGTAGGGGGCATAACGCGCGTTGTGGCCCCGAAGGTAAAGAAAAAACGCTCTCAAGCATGAGGAAGAGGAAGGGGAGCGGCGACAACTGCGCGCGTGGCGGCACGACGTGAGGGCTGAGGCGGTCGGCGAGACTCTCCCGTGGACGTGGACAGAGCATCCAGGAAGGCAGACGGAGTGCGAGAAAACGGGAGGCAAGGAGCAGCGGGAAGCTGCAGCTGTGAACGCTTGATGGTGCCACGAGTACCCAACCAAAGAAACGAGGGAGAACGAAGGAAGATAGGAGGCGATGAAGGGGCGGCGGGAGGCGAGAACACTTAGAACGCGAGCGGGCAGACAAGGAGGATAACGGGGGCGAGGCGGGAAGCCGCAGTGTCCCCAAGCAAACCCATTGCCCTGGAGAGAAAGTGGCGGCGACAGTCGGGCGGGTGGCAGCACCGAGGGAGAGCCATGACAACATCCAAGGGGATTGTGGACTCTGGGCACGGCGCGCCCTGAATCCGGCGCGTTCCGCGAAAGAGCATCCAAGAGGACAGAAGACATGAGACAGGACAATGAAACGGGAGACGTGAGAGACCCACAGCCAGCAGGCAAGAGGCGGGAGGAGGAAGGATCGCGGCAGCATGTGCCCTGCTCGAGACGATGGCCAAACCAAAGAACGGTTGGGGGCAGAGATGGTAACGAGAAATATCTCACCCTTTTCGTCCTCATCCTCCTCCGCTGCCCCCCTTCCACGACAATGACGCCGACGAAGGCGGCGCGGGGTGTGGCCAAGGACTTGAAGTTGTGCGCCGAGAACTTGTGGCTGGGTGGGCACCAGTCTGGACCCTCGACCTTGATGCCGCCTGCGGCGCGCTCGTCAGGCTCGAGGATCGAATCTGGAGAATCAAGGCTCCACGCCGTCACCACCACCACCACCACGACGACGACGACGACGACGACGACGACGACGATCGTCGCCCTCCCTCCCTCCCTCGCTCCCTCCTCCTCCTCCTCCTCCTCCTCCTCCTCCTCCTCCTCCCCCTCCCATTCATCCTCCTCCTATTGCTCCTCCTTCCATTCCTCCTCCTCGTCCTCGTCCTCCTCCTCCTCCTCATATTCCTCCGTCTCCCCCTTCCTCCTCCTCCTGCTCCTCCTCCTGCTCCTCGTCCTCCCCCTCCTCCTCCTACTCCTCCTCCTCCTCCTCCTCCTCCTGCTCCTCCTATTCCTCCGTCTGCCCCTCCTCCTCCTCCTCCTCCTCTTCCTCCTCCTCCTCCCGTCGTCGTCCTCCTCCTCCTCCTCATCCTCCTCTTCCGAGGCTCGAGACTTGAGGGCGATTTCCCTTGCCAACACGCAAGCACAACTCTGACCTTCCCGTGCCAGCAAGTTTCTTCACTTCGATACTAATCGAGCTGTCGACATCAGGAACGCATAAGGAACGCGTAAGGCGGAGGAGGGAGAAGGAGGAGGAGGGGAAGGAGGAGGAGGAGGAGGAGGAGGAGCCAAGCCGCGGAGGTGCAGACCCCGCGCCCCCTGCCAGTGCACAAGCCAACCGTAAGGAAAGGAGCCCCTCTTTCGGCCCCGAATGCGCCTGCGTGCACGAGGCAGACTAGAGAAACCGCCACTGGAGGACAAGGGGAACAACGGGCCCCTTCTGAACACAATCTGCTCCTCCTTTCAGCGTCTTCACTGTACACGTCGGCCGAAAGAAGTAGGTAAAAGAGATGAAGTAGGAAGGCGGCTAAAGCAGATTGGGTTGAGGCCACAGCAAGAGAATGTCGAGTCTTGAAGCAGGAAGGCGTTGAAAGTAGACTGGGATCTGGAATTCCAGAAGTACCTACCTTCAACGACCCCTGGGTACCTAAACTGACGGTCCCGGGGCCTGGACATGGCCTGGCCTCCAGAGGCAAAACCTACCGTCGCGCGTATCTTGCTATCGCTCGAACGCCCCTTCCCCGTGCACTTTTCGGCTCCGTGCGTGCGATGTTTGTTGCTGGATGGTCCAGGGTGCCCCTCGCTCGCTCTCGGCCGAAGTGTCGTGCAGACGCGGCCACCTTGGGGGGTGCCCCTCGATGGTCTTCGCTTGGATTTTTGCACACGGCAAGGGGCCTCGCCGCGGGGGGGCGGCCGGACTCGCCCTCCCGACCAGCCACAACTGGGGGAGCCGTGGTCCTTACCCCCGGGGGGGGAACCCATCGCATCGACTGTCGAAATCGGTGGGTCCCCCAGGGGGGTAAGGGCCACAGCTCCCCCAGCTGTGGCTGGCCTGCCCTCTGAACTCTGGGCAGGACGCGCCTCGCCAGGGAAGATCGGGCCGAGGACCTCGCGCTGCCCGTGGCCTCGGAAGGCCTCGTGTGGCCTCGGGGGACCTCTGGAGAGACGCCCGTCGAGCCTCTCGGGTCGGGCGAAAGGGGGGGATAACAAAGGGGGGTTTATTAGCAATCAGCTCACGTAGCTGATTTTCCCGGCGCCTCCCGGCGCCGGAGGCGACGATGTATCGAGGAATGGGCCCCTCGGTGGGGCCGAAACCAGCTGCATGCTGCAAATTTCGTAACCCCCCCTTTCCCAATCCCCCCCTTTCGTCCGGCCCGAGCCTCCTCCCCTGGCCTCAGAGGGCCTCGTTGGGGCCTCGAAGGCCTCTGGAGACGTCCAGAGGCGGAGGGCGGCGGCAGTCGTTGGTCGCAGGGCTGCATCAAGCGTGTGTCGCCTGTCGTCGCAATCGCTCGCGGTCCGCGTCGGCGGATCAGCCGGTCGGTCGGTCGGCGACGCAGCGCGCGTCGTCGTCGAGGGGGGGGAGGAGGAGGAGCTGGAGAATACGGAGGACGAGAGCAGGAGAAAGAAGAGGGGGAGGAGGGAGGAGGAATCAGAAGGGTGGGAGAGGAAGGGGTAATAGAGAGGAGGAGCGTGACGGTAGGAATCCGGAGGAAGGGCAACGGGATGAGGAGGTGGAGGAGGAGGAGGTGGAGGGAAGGGAGGTCGAAGCAGAGTGGAGGAAGGGAGATGATAGGAAGGGGAGAGTGGTACAGTGGGGAGAGAAGGAAGAAGAGAAGGGAGAGAGGGAGGGAGGAGAAAGAAGGAAAGCATTAATTGAGTATGGATGCCAGGAAGAGGGAGAAGAGAAGAGATGGGGAACGGACACGATGAGGATGGAAAGAAGGAAGAAAGACGGATGGGAGAGGATAGAGTGAGGATTCACGAGACAGGGGGGGTGGGAAATCGAGGGAGGTAGGAGGAGGAAAATGGGATGGCTCAGGGAACCCACGTGCAGGGGGGAGATGAGGTGGATGATGATCAAGTGCAGAAGAGCGATGAATTAACTGCGCCAACGAGCCTTCAACAAACAAAAGCTCTGTTTAATTAGCTTGCTCCTGCATTGCTGCTCTGCTCGAGACCGATCCCGAATGGCACCCGTTTGTACCATCGCGTGTTCGCTAAGCGTTCCGCTTCGTTTCTGTACCGACCTCAAGACGAGCTCCTGGTCCGGGGAACAAAGGACGCGACATTCAGAGCTCCACGTTACGAGCAAATTCGCGACGTCGGAGGTGTGGGGGCAGAAATCGGCGGCGTCCAAGAAGGGGGGCGTTCAAGAGGGCGGGGGGGGGGGCGCAAATCATGGCTGGCGGCATGTGCGCGGCCCAGGGGGGGCCAAATGGACGCATGAAAAGAAGAAGAGGCGCCATGACATCTGGGGAGACATCATGGCCCCCGCCATGATATCCACCCCCCCTAGCCCCTAGTTAGTCATTAGTTACCCCCCTGGCCGCCCCCGAAGAAAGGGGCCTTACCATCTGGGCCTCGCATTTTCGCCCCCGCAGCTTCGCCGGGTCTCGGGCCACGGGGTCCTCGCTGACGGATCCGGCTTATGGGAGCTGCCGCTCTACAGAGGGGCATAGGGGGGTCCAGGTCCCCTGTCGTGATGGTTCGGTGTGCTCTTCGCGCTGGGCTTCGGGGTCTCAGGGGGGCGGGGGAGGGGATGCGGTGAGGAGGGAAGGGGGTCAGGGAGCACGCGGGAGGAGGAGGGAGTGGAACAAGGAGGCAGGGAGACGGGAGTAAAGGACGAGGGACGAGGAGGAGGCGGAGGAGGAGGAGGAGGAGGAACTGATGGAGGAGGGGAACACGTTGCCCGGATTTTTGAGGAGGGGAGGAGAACGGGGAACAGGCCGAGGGGGAGGGGGGGCGGAAGAGGGCAGCGAGGACGGGGGGGCAGGCAGGGAGACCCGGCCCCCTGCCGCAACAGGAGGCATCGTGGCGTGCTGCCTCGGGTCCCATCCCCGGGGCCCGTGTCCAATCCTGGGTCGGTTATGGGTGGTCCTGCGAAGACGAAGCCAGGACGACGAGAAAACCGGGTGAGGATGGATCGAGGATCTCGGAGATCCGGCGGCTCTGGAGGATGCCTCGGGCGCCGCGGCCCCTCTCAGTGCGCTCCAGAACGCTCTGAGAGCGCTCCGGCGCGCTCTGGAACGGACTTCTCCTCGCCCTGGCCCCGTCCGACCTGCCTTGGAGCCTGCAGCGGGCATCCAAGGGGCCCGAGCCGCCGACTCGATGCCTCTCCGTGGCGCCGGAGACCTGGGTATCCTGACGCAGGCGATGCTCTTCCCATCGCGCCGAGGTTCTGGGCGGGGGGGCGGGACTGCAGGGTCCTGTCAGCATCGTCCAGCACAGCACCCCGAAGGAGTAGATGTCGGCCCTGTGGTCGTACGGCCTCTCCAGCACCACCTCCGGGCAAGGCTCTGGGACCGCAGTGGGGCGGGCGAGGCCCGTGCGCAAGGCGACGGAGCTGGGCGAGCCCAGAACTCGCCGTCGTCGCCGCCGTCGGGTGACCCCGAGACCTCTAGGGCACCTGCGGTCAGGCAGGTGCCACCCATAGAACGCCCTGTGTGACAACCTGTTCCAGGGAAGAGGCCGAGGGCAGTTGCAGGTCGAGGGCCGTCGGAAGGATTCGGATGCTGTGGAAGGCCAAGTGGGATGCCTCACAGATCCAGACGCTGTCCGAGTATAGTCCGAGATGCTCTGTGGTGTTATGTTCCCCGCAAAGCGCTCGCAGTCCGACTTGAGGGTGCAAAGGAAGGGTCCATGCAACGTGCAGACATGAACCTCGCACGCCCGTAATCGCACAGCGATGGGCTTCAGAAGTGAGGATGCCATGGCACCCTTGGACAAGTCCTCGCCCTCACTCAGACGTTTGGCCGTGTCCTCAGAGATCAGGAAGATGCCATGGAGCGTTACTCACCCCAGAAAATGCTAGAGGATCTTGCGAACAGGATGGACGTCTCCTGCAGATAGCGAAAGCAACTCTTCGGGGTAACCCGAATATCAAGATGGTGTCAGATTCCCGAGTTCGAAACCAACCACAACTCTGTCAGCTTCTCTCGGTCGTCTCATCCTTCATCTCCTCCCTCCTCCTCCCTCCTCCTCCTCCTCCTCTTCCTCCTTTCCTCCACCTCTTCCAAAGTCCACCCTCCTCGCCCTTTTACAAACTCCTCTCTTCCGTCCTCCGCCCTATTCACTCCCCCTCCCTCCTCAGATCCCACCCCTCAACCCCCCTGGCTCCTCTACCTGCTCCTCCTCCTCCTCATCATCCTCCCGCCCCAAGCCTTCTAGACATCCTCATCCTCCACCATTCTCTAGCTCTCTCGTCCTCCACTACTTTTTATCCCCAGCCCCCCCGCATCCATCCACCTCCGATGGCCCCACTCGCCCTCCCACGCCCGCCTCCCTCCCTCCCTGGACGTCTTGCTCCGTTCTCCTCCTCCTCCTCCTCCTTCTCCTCCGCTTTCTCCCGGCCGGTCAACCCTGCCCCCTGCTCCGACCCACCGCCCGACCGACCGTCCGTGCCCAACAACTGTCTGCCTGACCGTGTGACCGTTCCCCTTTCCCCCTGGACCTGCTCCCAGTACATATGTATATATATATACACATATATATATACATATAGCCCTCTGAACCCACTAAGAACCCCCCTTTCTCATGATTATATACGAATTTATACATGATTCCTACGATTTTCGGACTCAATTTTGACGCTCTTTTTTGGAAGACTTTCTCCAGTACTCAACAGCCTCCTTCTCCAACACAACACCCGATACTGAACAGGCTCCCTCCCCAAGCTGAACTTGAAAATAACCTTCTACTCAACTCCCTCCGTCTCCAACACAACAACCAGTACTTAACAGCCTCCTTCTCCAACACAACACCCGATACTCAACAGGCTCCCTCCCCAAGCTGAACTTGGAAATAACCTCCTACTCAACTCCCTGCGTCTCCACCACACCACCCAGTACTCAACAGCCTCCTTCTCCAACACAACACCCGATACTCAACAGGCTCCCTCCCCAAGCTGAACTTGAAAAAAACCTTCTACTCAACTCCCTGCGTCTCCAACACAACACCCAGTACTCAACAGCCTCCTTCTCCAACACAACACCCGATACTCAACAGGCTCCCTCCCCAAGCTGAACTTGGAAATAACCTTCTACTCAACTCCCTCCGTCTCCAACACAACACCCAGTACTCAACAGCCTCCTTCTCCAACACAACACCCGATACTCAACAGGCTCCCTCCCCAAGCTGAACTTGAAAATAACCTTCTACTCAACTCCCTCCGTCTCCAACACAACACCCAGTACTCAATAGCCTCCTTCTCCAACACAACACCCGACACTCAACAGGCTCCCTCCGTCTCCAACACACACACACAAGTACTCCAGATCCACCCACCACAACACGATGCGACACCCGAAACTCCAACCGCACCCGCCCTCCTTTTGTCTTGGCATCTTCCAAGAGAAAAGGGGGGTTCATGGTGGGTGCTGAGGCCTACATATATAATGTATGCATACGTAGGTGTACACACACATGTTTATACATAGCTTACGTAGATTGTGTATACAAACGATATTAAACACAAAAACTATAGATGTCCATATGTACACGTATGTGTATATGTATGTACATCGATTTCTACGTCTACCTATACATGTATACTTCATGCTGCCAACACATATACATGTACATGCTTACATGTATATATATATATAGACAGATATCGTGGCTGGTGGCCCGTCCCTCTGGAGCCCCCCCCCCCGTATGGCCCGCCCGTCCTGCCCCTTCTTCCGACCGACCCGCCGACCGACTGTGCACCCCCCTTCTCCTGGCCCGCCCCTCCGCCGACCGACTGGCCCCCAACCCTGCCCGCCCGACGTCGTCAATGTCAACCCTGGCCGTGCGGGCGAGGGCTTCCCAGCAACTCCGAGAGAGCTTAAACCGGCCCCAAGCCCGACTGTCGACGATCGATGACAGCGACGACGACGATCGACGATCGACGATCGACGACGACGACGACGACGACGACGACGACGACGACGACGACGACGACGACGACGACGACGACGACGACGACGACGACGACGACGACGACGACGACGACGACGACGACGACGACGACGACGACGACGGCGGCGGCGGCGGCGGCGGCGGCGGCGGCGGCGGCGGCGGGGGCGGCGGCGGCGGCGGCGGCATTGGCCGCGGCGACGGCGCGAGGAAGCGAGGCGTCGTCGGCGAGGGGGCCTCAGGCGCCGCGTAGGCGGGGCTGCCGGGGGGGCAGTTCTGCAGGGTGAAGGCCCCGGTGGAGGTGCTGCCTGGCGCCCAGGGCAGAGCAGGGCAAGGAGAGACAAGCCAGGGCTCCTCAGCAGCTCCTCCTCCTCCTCCTCCTCCTCCTCCTCCTCCTCCTCCTCCTCCTCCTCCTCCTCCTCCTCCTCCCCCATCTTCCCCCTCCCCCTCGTCCTCGTCCTCCTCCTTATCCTCCTCCTCCTTCTCCTCCTCCTCCTCCTGTTCCTCCACTGCCTCCTCCTCCTCATCCTCTTTCTCCTTGTCTCGATCCTGCGCCCGGGGAGGGGGGTGGGCGCAAAAGGCAAAACAACGCAAAACAACGCAAGACACGAAAAACACCGCAACGGCATAAACGTACAAGTTTTGAGGTCCGCGCGGGATTCTCGCACCTGGGTTGGGCCCTTTCTGGCGCGCGGGGCGCGCCAGGAGCGATGCCGGAGGCGCCGCCAGAGGGGGGCGCGCCGATCCAAGAGACCCACGCGGAGCTCCGAATACCTATGTATGTGCCGCCTTCGCTTCCTCGAGATGGGGCAGCACGGCGCAGGAAAGGGCAGCACATCGGGAGCCAAAGTATCGTGATCACTCGCGAGAGCGTCCAGGACCGGCCCCGCACCCCCCCTTCCCTTCTGTGGCACCTTCTGAGTTCCACCCAGGTGCTCTCGAGTTCCTCTCACGCTCGTGGGAGCTCCCCAGCTCCCGCCTGTGAGCGCACTCGTCTGAGATGAGTAGGTTTAGGTCGGGCGTGTCCCCCTACAGGCGGATTTGGGGCGAAAAAATTAAACATACTCAAATAATAACCCCAAATTAAAAAAACAAGGAAAAAAAACAGAGTATTTTTAACTACTTTTGAATATTCCTCCTGTAGAGGGACAGTCCCGACTCAAGAGTAGGTAGCACAGGCAGGAATGTGATGTGTGCGTGCTCGTGGCACGAAGGAGACAGGCGAGGGAGGCACTCCTGCCTCCAGAGCTCCTGAGGCTCCTGTGAGGGCCTGCTGCCAAATTGCTATGGGTGGAACGAATGGAGCAGCATCGGCAAGCCGACACCAGTGCAGCAACATCTTCGCTCGAATCATTATGGGGCGAAGGCCAGAACATACACGGGAACCATCGCAATCTTCAGGCTCCTCCAAAAACCTCCATATCGCCCCACAGATCAGGGCGCCAGCCCAGGCACTCGGAGATCCTCGAAGGCCTTTCTAGACCCTCCCCACCCTTGGCTCACTCAAACACCTGACCGTACACGAAGCGCACGCCAGCAACTCGAGGCCAATGCGAAACCCATTTCCGCCCATCAGTTTTCAGGCACCGTAGGCGACCGCACAACTTCTCAGTCCGCGACGAGGCAGGCTGGAACCCATCGAACCTGCCAGCCAGAGGAGTTCAGCTATTGGAACCTGACGAGAGTCACCTCGCCCTCCGTTTTGACCGTTGCTGAAACCGCTGAGAAAGGCGGGGATCGACACGTGCGCTCGACCTTGCCAGCCCTCTAACTGCTGAGAGAAACGCCTGTGTCCTCGACGCTCACGAGCTTGGGTGGGAAACTACCGATGATTCGTCCTACCGTCGACTTGCCGTCCACCCGGTTGGCGAAAGATGCATCTCCCCAGACTATGTCCGCCAGCTCCTGGCCTGCGACTCCGAGAAGGGGCGATCTCCAAGGTCCGCCCCGTGGTCTCATTCGACCGCTTGACAAGATGGTTCGCCTTCAGGAGGTCGCCCACTGCGCACGACTCCGGCTTGCTCTGGAGGAGGTTCAGCCCCCCAGGATGTCAGGTCCTGTCCAAGTACCTATTCACTGACCGAGTCTTCCCTGCTACTGCTGTGAACCGACTCTTCTGCTCTGATCTCACTCTTCTCTGCCACTGTCACCGGGGGGGAAGGCTGCCGTCGTCGATCTGGTGGTGCTTCGACCTCCTCGATCTGCTCCGTGTAGATCGCCTGGCTTAGACTAAAACCGAAGCTCGCATGCTGAGTGAGATCCGCCCCCGCAGCGCACGAAGGTACCATCCTCCCACTCGGCCCAGCGGAACGAATCCATGACCTTCTTCTTCGCCGCTGCCCACCGGGCAGGAGGAGGTGGAGGAGGAGCAGAGGAGGAGGAGGGGAAGGTGAGGCGAAGGAGGAGGAGGAGGAGGAGGCGAAGGAAGAGGAGGAGGAGGAGGAGGAGGAGGAGGTGAAGGAAGAGGAGGAAGAGGAGGAGGAAACGCCACCTCCGGGGCGCCCTCCGGAGAGAAAGTCGCTCACGTGGGCCGAGGCCATCGCCGCGAGATGGTCGACTGGCCTGCGCGCGTGGATCTACACCTCGAGTTGCCTCCGTCCGTTCTCCTGCGGCTGGCGACAGACCGCCGTGCGCCATGCATGCTCGCCGTGCCTGCACGAGACCGCGGGCCGACATCCCCAGCGGGCTGCGCGAAGAGGCCCTGGCCGAGCAGCTCGCCCTGGAGAACGGCCGACTTCGCACCTCCGTTCGAGGCCCGCATCTTGAGGTCCACCGCCTCCTGCAGGAAGGCCGGTCGAGCAGTTCTCGCAACCGTCGGAGCGAAGGATTCCCTGGCGGTCAGGTCGGGGCCCCGGAAGCCCAGGATGACCAACCGATCCTCTGCCCTGCAACCTTCAGGTTCAGATGGGTGCTTCGTCCGAACGAGAACACGCCGCAGCAGAATCAGACAGTCAGTGGGCGCTCTGACGTGAGCAGGCAAGCCTTCGAGAACCATCTCCTTGATCCATTAGTGGGCTTCCTCCTTCTTGGCCAACCGACACTTCTCCAGGTCCACAGCGGAAAGGGTCCGCGCTTTGACCTCTGCTCGCTGACATCTCAATTGCGTTGCCACGGACGATGAAAGAGACCCTGCAGCTGACCCACCACGAGCATCTCGATGGCATTGACCTCGTCTTCCCAGGACCTCTCGTTTCAAGGCAGGGCCCTCGCCTGAATGGCATGCCCGTGACCGCTCGGTGCTCAAGGGCGCACTTGCCGCGCTGAAACAAGATGCATGCCTGCAGAGATGTATGAGGACTTGGGGGCAGAGGGGATGCTTTGCAGCATCGCGGGTGCATTCTGGGTGCACTCTACGAGGAGGAGGAGGAGGAGGAGGAGGAGGAGGAGGAGGAGGAGGAGGAGGAGGAGGAGGAGGAGGAGGAGGAGGAGGAGGAGGAGGAGGAGGAGGAGGAGGAGGAGGAGGAGGAGGAGGAGGAGGAGGAGGAGGAGGAGGAGGAGGAGGAGGAGGAGGGGAGGAGGAGGAGGAGGAGGAGAGAGGGAGGAGGAGGAGAGGGAGGAGGGGGAGGAGGAGAAGGAGGGAGGACGAGGAGGAGGGATCATACAACTTCGGAGCCCCGCGCGGATTCCTCGGATCGGCGCTGGGCCCCCTCCCTGGGGCACGGCTGCGCGCCAGGGGCGGCGCGCTGGAGGCGAGGCCAGGGGGGCCCCAGCGCTGATCCGAGACATCCGCGCGGAGCCCCGAGAGTCGGTGCGTGCAGTTGTTTGTTCCTCGACCTGTTCGCCCCTCCTCCTCCTCCTCCTCCTCCTCCTCCCTCCTCCTCCTGTTCGCCCCTTCTCCTGTTGTCTTCCTTCCTCCTCCTCCTCCTCTCCTCCTCCTCCTCCTCCTCCTCTCCTCCTCCTCTCCTCCTCTTGCTCGCCCCTTCTCCTCCTCCTCCTCCTCCTCCTCCTCCTCCTCCTCCTCCTCCTCCTCCTCCTCGTCCTTCCCCCATACTCCCTCGAAAGGGGGGGGGCGGGGCCACGGGGGGGGAGGGGCCTATGCGCCCCATCCCGAAGTCGGTGAGCTTGGCGTGGTCGTGGCCAGTGAACACCACGTTGGCGGGCTTCAGGTCACGAACCTGCGAGAGGTGGGGGGCAGCCGAGTGGCACGACGACGACGACGACGTCTGGACCCTGCGATTGGGTACCCCGCGCGCACGACAGCGAGGACCCGTCAGCCCCCCCTCACCAAGGGATCACAACCAAGTCCCCCAAAAGATGCCAAGAAGGAGGCCCCCAAAATGGACCCGACAGGTCCCCATGACCAGCGGAGAGGCTTCAGGAGAGGCCGCCCCCCTGGGCGGCTCCGAAAGGCCGTCCGATAGGCCTCCAAAAAGGTCCCCGAGAAGACCCTGCAACAAACGCGGGATAAAGGAAGATACATCAACAACAACTATACGCAGGCAACACCACGGGAAGTAACGGACAACGCACAAGGAATCGGGAGCCGCACGTAATTATCCTCTTCTGGAGGCCAGCGACATGGCGCAAGCCTCTTGAATAGAAAGGATGCCGACGACGACGACTACGACGGAGACGACACGGCAGCCTTACGCAGGCGACTTACGCTCAAGTGCACACGCAATCGAGACAAATGTTAATCGATATCATTGACACGAAGCCGGCGACACCGATCAGCCGGCGACGCACAACGAGCGATGCAAAAACCGGCGAGTGCTACAGTCGAAGCTAGGACAGAAGAGCACCCCTCAAGAACACGAGAACCTCCGCCAGCCAAAACGCACAGAGAATCCAAGATAATCCAAGGGTACCCTCCCCAGGGTGCACGCACAAGACCATCCAACAAACACGAAGAACATTAGGGTACCCACAGAACCGACCTCGATCTTATACTTCGTCGAATGCAGGCAAGACGGCGGCACACGACGAGGACATTGTCGCCACCGGTACCGACGGCACACACACACATCTCTCATCATCCCTCCTCCACCCATCCTCCCCTTCGCATCCTGCCAGTGCGCCTCCTCATCCTGGTCATCCTCATCGTCCTGATGCTGCTTTTCCTCCTCCTCCGCCTCCTCCTTCTCCTCCGCATCCTCCTCCTCCTCCGCCTCCTCCTCCGCCTCCTCCTCCTCAGCCGTTCTGGCTGAAGCTTTTCGGCCTGTGTTTGCAGCAGCTCCCTTCAGAAAGGCACATAGCTGCTGCGGGCCAAGGTTGGCTCGGTTTCCTTTCCACGTTCAGTTTGCGGAATCTCAACCCGCTGTCTTCATATGTGAGCTCCTGCTGGAACCTGTGGCCGATCACGTTTCGCACAGAGTCACGGCGGGCAAAGGCGAAGGCGGGAAGGGGCGTGGCGCCCCTTGCGTTTCGTGGCACCGCGCCTGGGCACAGCCGCCTCCTCCTGCTTCTGGAGGAGGGCAGCGCGAAGGCGCGGGCCATCCGCCCAGACGCCAAGACCCCAGGACGTGGCCCCCACTCGCTCCTGGTCCTCAGGGCGCTGGCGCTGCTGCTCGTGGTGGTGGCGTCCCTCCTGGCAGCTCGGCCTCGCGCTGGACTTGCTGCTGGTGCGGTTGCAAGAACAACGAGGGGCGCTTCTACTACTGCAAGCATTGCGGCGCCCTCAAGAGTGACTGGGTCATGCTGCCCTCTGCCTGGTCGTCAGGCAAGACGCTGGAGCTCCTCGGCAATGGCACGGGCAAGCACGACGGGGGCAAGGGCCACGGCAATGGAGCCTCCGCGGCCCTCGCAGGTGGAGGCGGTGGCAAGGGCACCCCTGCTGGCGACGCCGACTCCAAGCCCCCCCTCACGGCAGAGGAGTACTCCCAGATGGCCGCCCTCAGCGAGAAGTTGGGGGGTGCAGGGCGCTCGAGCTCACCGCACTGCCGCGGTGGCTTTGCAAGAGCCCTCGCCCAAGCATAATCCTCCTCAGGTTCAACTCAACCGTGCCCATCAGCAAACACGCATGGTCGAGAAGCGTCTGGAGAATGCGGTCACCAAGCGCGAACAGATGAAGCAAGCTCTGGCGGCGCAGAGGTCGTTGGTGCTTCAGCTACGGTCGGATTTGGTCGAGGCAGAGAGTCAGCACAGTGCACTCGTGTGGCGCCTACATGACGATCTCCCTGGCCATCGCAGGTAGCACGCTCAGCCTGGAGGACATTCTTGATGAGCCGCGTTTCTCCGCCATGTTCGACCTTGGCCTCGGAGACTGTTCCACTGTCTCGGAGTAGGAGGACCCCCTGTCTGCCGAGGAGAAGGAGCAGCTGGCAGCACGAGTGTCGCAGTTCAAGACAGGCATCCCGGACATGGCTCGTCACCTTTTTTTCGGAGGCTAAGAAGAAGGTCGACCTGGTCAAGGCCGAACACCAATCTATTGCACAGCGCATGGCGGCCAAGAAGCGGCGCACTGGCGAGGTGGGCCAGGGCGTGGCTGGAGGCAGGCCTGCTGCCAAAGCGCCCGCCGCGGCTGCGGCTGGCGGCCCAGACGCTGGGCCCGCTGAAGCGGCTGGCGCAGGCGACTCGGCATCGGCTCCGACTCCGCAGGCTTCCACGGCGTCTTCCTCGGCATTGCCAACGGCCCCGACAAGCACTCGTTCACGCGCTGACAGGATTGCTGGCAAACCTTCTGATTCAGCCCCCTCTGGAGGAGCCTAGGGATCTCCGGCGCTCGGACCGCGGGACCGTTCCTTGGGAGTTCGGGACCGTCGGCCTGGCAAAAGGCTCTCGCTGGAACAACCTCCAGGAGGGAAGCGTCGTTTTGTTTTCAGGACCTTGCCGCGCCCCGGCACAGGTCACGCTTTGGCGCAAGCGAGGGCTGACTCTGCTCATCGCTTCATCCTCTGGTAGCAACGACTGCCCGAGGTTGAACTTTAACATGCAGTGCAGGCCTCAATCTCGTTGGCGCTCTCTACCCACTCGCGTGTATGCGGTGCTCGGCCATTCGTCGCTCTGCACGTGCGAATGGAACAACCAGCGCCAGTTTGCGAAGTGTTTTGCCAGTCCTGCGGAGGTGTATCCTATTGTATCGTTGGTGAAGGATGCCCCCTGTCGCACCTCGCTGGTCAGGCTGCCTTTGCCTGCCCCCTCTTCGGTGACGCAGGCTCACGAAAACCGGTCTTTGCATCGCAGCGACCTCGGAGGCCCTGGGCCATCTGTTGCCCAGGGTCCGCGTCGCTGCCCCTCGCCCCACCCTTCCGCCAACCTCGCTTGGTCGATTTCAGCCTCAGAACGCGAGGGCATGGGCCCATGCGGCGCTCGCTCTCACCCTGCGGAAGCTCTGCCTTCCACCAGGTGCCTGCCTGTGCAGGCCGATGCGGTGCCACTCAGAATTCGGACCATCAACTGTAATTCCTGGGGAAGGACGCGCAACATGATCGGAAGCACTGACGCGCGCAACTTGCTCTGCCAGGAGCATGGGCTGATTTCCCATGGAGACATCGACCAGGCCAGCGCCTGGAGTCTCCGCCGTGGCTGGAAGAGCGCGCGGTCGCCCGCCATGGCCACTGATGTTGGCGACTCCTCGGGGGGTGTCGCAATGTTCGCGCGCTCTTGGATAGGCTGCCCGGACGTTGTCGGAGACCAGGTGCGCGCCGAGAGAGCGGCCGTTTGTGCTGTCGAGCTTCCTGGCGCGCCGCCCATGCTCATTGCTTCGGCCTACCTCTTTCACTCGGAGGGGTTGTCTGACAGAAATTGGAGGCTGTTCTCAGATCGTGGCCTTTGCCTCTCCTCGGCCGCGAGACCCTGGGTTCCTGGTGTGGACTTCAACATGGAGCCCTCTGAGTTGGGAGGGTCGCGTTTTGTCTAGTAGCTCAGAGGGGCTCCGACCTCTCCCAAGGTGCCCACTCACTACCCTTCGGGGCCCCCCACCACCTTAGACTACCATGTCGTCTCGGGCGGCCCCAGCGAGGGCATCGAGAGGATCGATGCGCGCTTGGACACGGAGCTTTCCCCCATAACTAGGCCTCTCGACCTCAAGTTTGTGTTCGGTCAATTGGCTGTGCCGAAAACTCTTTCGTTCAAGCGCCCCCCCGCCCTTGCCTGCCGAGGCAGTGGTCGGCCCTTCGCCGAGACCCCCTGAATGGTCAGGGGCCCAGTTTCTGGCCGACTCGGCCCTGGGTTTGCTCGACACAGGTCGCCCCAACGAAGCTGCTTCCCTTCTGGGCTCACTGTGCAAAAAGGTGGGCCGACACTGCCGAAAGGGAACTTATTCCTTTGGTTGGGTCCATCGCCTGTCAAGCTCGGCACTCGTGTTTTGGGCTGGGCCCCCAGTTGGTCTGGCGCTCGGTTTTAGCGAAGGGCCCCCAGGCCAGATACCCGACTCACAGGCCCATGGCTTGGCAAGGGCAGCAGCTCAGGGCGCGCATCCATGCCTTGCGAGCAGGGGAGTCTAGCACTGCCTCCTGTTTGAAAGGGGTTGCTGCTTCAGCCTCCGCTTGCGATCGCCAGCGCCAAGGCTGACCATGCGCCCCTGTTCGAGCTGGTGACGACGTCGGTCGCGACCTTGGCTGCTCCCGACGCGTTTGCTGAAGTTTACGCCCAGGTGCACGAGGCCGTCAAAACCGCCGACAGCACGCTCCTCGCTCAGATCCGTGCCGACTGGAAGGCATGGCTCAACGCCGGAATGCAGCCTGAAGCAAACCGGGTTCACATGTTGCTCCGAGACCCGACCCCTTGGGTGGCCAACAGCAATCTTTCGGCCGAGGGCAGCGCAGTTTCGGATCCGCTTCGCTTCTGAAGGCGGAGGGCCCGCGGTTCTCGAAGCTTTGGGGCCCTGTGTCGGGGGCCCAGTCTCGGCTTGAGCGTCTCGGACCCCTCCCCAGGATTGAAGCTAAAACCACTCGTGAAATTGCTCGGTCTTACAAAAGTCGGTCGTCTCCGTTGATGGCTTTCACTTCAGACACTTCTCGTTGCTGTCCGACGCTAGCCTCACCTGTCTGAGTAGCATCCTTTGTCTGATCGAGTCTCTTGGCATTCGCCCCCCTCAGATTTCGGCTGCGCTGCTCGCGCTGCTGCCGAAGCCGACTGGCGGCTACAGGCCCATAGGGGCATTCTGTTCAAGGTTCAGGGTCTGGGGGCGCTGCAGGCCCCCCCCCCCCCGACCTGGACTAGGAACTCACTCACCCCCGTGGGCACTGGGCTGCTGGCCAGCATCGGGAAGCGGCCGACGTCGTTTGGAGACAAGCGGTGACGGCCGAAAGTGGAGCCGTTAGGGGTCAGGCCAGCTGCAGCATTGTTTCGGTCTTTCTTATTTCTACGAGAACATCAATCTGGACAATTTAGATGACCGCTGTAGGAGACACGGGTTTCCGATGATCATCGCCAGATTGTGCTTGTATGTGTACGAAGCCGGTCGTTTTCTCAGCCTTGGCGGTTGGATCGAGGGCCCTTACTTCGGCGCGAACGGGGCCGTCGCGGGTTGTTCGATGGCAACCACTCTTATCCGTGTCTACTGTCTTGACGGTTACGACAGCATCCCTCTTGCTCCCTCTCCCTCCCTGGACGTTTACAATGATGGCCAGGGCTTGTCCTCCGCGGGTCGCCCTGGGACTGTCGTGGACGCTGTGGTGGCTGGTGCCGCTGCGTTGGGTGGTGTCGTGAGGGACGGTTTAAACTGTTCGTTCGCTCAAAAGAAAACGGCGATTGTTGCTGGCCCTCAGTTCGTCGGCGCCCAGGTCCTCGAACGGCTCAGCCACCTCTGCCGCCACTGCTCTGGTTCCGCGGCCATCCTAGGCGTTGCCTACGCGGCTGGTCGAGCCATCAGGGCTGGCGGCAAGGCGGCCAATATGAAGGCTGGGGTCGCCGAGTCAGCTCGGGCAGCACCGCGCTTGGCGCGGCAGGGTAAGGCGATTAGTCGGGCTTCCGCCCTCAATGTCTGCTCGGCGGGGCCCTTAGTGGGGCCTCCTACGGGTCGGAAGCCGCGGGCATTAATGATCGCGACCTTAGCCTGCTGCGCCGCCGTGTTTCTTTTTCCGTCGTTCGCCCACGCAGCCAGCTGAGGTCTCTCACAGTCAGCGCCATCCTGGACTGCGATCCGACGTGGCGAGCGGCCACAGCCGCGATTCCCAAGTGGAACAAGGAAGTGTGGCGTTGTCAGACCTGGGCCCTCAGCTGGTCTCTCTCCTTGCCTGTGCCCAGGCGCGCGTGGCACGCCATTTTTTCTTGTGCGCCGTGCAGCTGGAGGCGAGTTGCGGGCCCCATCTCTGCCATGCGGATGTCTCCGGTGCGCCTCGGATGGTGCATGGGTAACTTCATGACCCTGGTGGGCGATTTCGGGAGATCCATTCCCCCGGGGATCTCCGCGCCCTCGCTGGCCGGGCCCCTGGTCCGAGAAGGGCATTTCCGCATTGTGGAAAGACGCGGCGGCTGCTCGTGGCAGCCAGTCGCGCCTCTGCAACGACGCGGCGCGGGAATGTCTCTCTTCGCAGCAAGCAATTCACGCCTTTCCAAAGGCCGGGATTAAAGCCTTTTCCAAGGAAGCTTTCCTCGCGGCTGCCAGGGCCGAGTCTCTTGGGCATCACATCGAGCCTGTCTGCGTCCACTGCGGAGCCCGCGACGCCATCTTCCACCGCTTGTGGGATTGCCCCATGCCCCCTCGCGGATGAGGACAGGAGCGGGCTGAGCGAGCCCGATATCATCGAAGCCGCGCGCGCAGCTAAGGCCTCGGGCGAGCCAGAGGACGGCTTTGCGTTCGTATCTGGCGCCTTTCGGCGCCCCGCCGACCTCTACCCTCGGACGTTGACTGAGCAGGATGATGGCCCGATGTTGACGCGGGAAAAGTTCCCTAATGAGGGCCCCGATGCGGCCCCTGTTGACAATCGCGCCTGGGGCGACCTCTTCGTCGATAGTTCATGTATTCGCCACGCAGTGCGCGAACTTTCTCGAACGGGCAGCGCTGTTTGCATGGCGGGCGACGCTGGTGACTTAGTTGCCGAGCTTCGCGCGCCAGTCTGGGGCCCACACCAACAGACGGCCCAGAGCGCCGACTTCAGCGCCTGTCCTTGGGCCAATGTGATGGCCACGCGTCCCGCAGACTGCCACATCTTTTCGGACTGTAGCAACGTTGGGAAGTCGGCGGCCAGAGGCAAGTCGGTTCAGTTGTCCCCCAGGAGGATGTACTCTGGTGCCTTTCTCCAGTGTTACGGTCTGGTCGGTGGGATCGGTCCTAGCTCGGAAGTGTCCGCCCATCTGGACATCGACGCTCCTGGCATCACACCCCGAGAGCGCTGGTGCAGGCTCGGCGACCACCATGCAGATGTGGCAGCCAAGCACGCAGTTTCGTTGCACCCGCGTGACGAAGGCCTTCTTCAGGACGCTGACAAGATGGTGTCATACGCTAGGGCTACTGAAAAGCTGGCTGCTCACGTTCTGGTCCACTGGCCCCTTTGGATCTGTCTGGAGTCGGCAGGACCCGGGATCCCCCGTCCCAAAGGAAGCCTACCTCTGGTCACGTTTGGGAATCCTGGAGCGGAATCTGGACGTGCGCTCTGTGTTTACGTGGTTACAGGTCCTTCTCGAAGCCACCCCCACGGTCCTGCTGCAGGAAGTCATTGGTCCACGCGGACCACCAAGATGCCCTCGGGCACCGTACTGTCGCCTTTCCATGCACTGACCACTCAGTACTCTTCATCTGGTTCAGGTGCAGATGTCACACCAGCGGGGGTCAAATCCGTGGCCTGGCCCAGGAGTGCGTTGCCCCTACCCGTGCTGGTAAGTATGGCTGGGACTATGTGTAAAGGACTAAACCTCCAGCACAAGCAGGAAGAAAGCAGGTGTAAGAGTCGACTCGACACAGAAGGGCTGGTCCAATGTTTCAACTCGGCGCATAGGGGCGCCTTGCTGATCGCTGGCCCAGCCGAGGCTGCAGGCACCTCCGACCCAGCCACTGCGTCCTCGCTCATTGGTCCTTCCGCTGCAGCGGCGGGACCTGGCGGCTCTGCGCCTAGACTCGTTCCGCAACCCTGTGCGTTCGCCTCTGGTCCATCACCCGACGTTGGAGACGGACTCGTGCGCGACGCTTCGGGCTGCGGCCTCTACGACGACTTTGAAGCAGAAGAGGATGCCGCCCTGTTCCTCGCTGCTGGCTCTTCTTCCGCCGACCCGCTTGCCGGCGCGAAAGCGGATGCAGCTGGCTCGAGCGACGCAGCGCCGCTCGCTGCATCAGCTACTTTCGTTGCCACCCCGCAGCCTGCCGTCGGCCGTTTCGGCCAAGCTGCGGGCACGGCTTGCCCCGTCGGCGTCGGGCCGACTCAATCTGCAGGTCTTGGGGACGAGGAGGCTGCTCGGCGTCCAGTCCTCCGTGCCGCTGAGGCGCCGCACCCTCCGTCCAGCGCCTCTCCAAGAGAAGCGCTGAGATCGGCGCGTGCCGCCCTAGCGGCCCAGGATGACGAGTCCCCCCTGCGGCCAAGGCACCGTCCTGTGCCCGAGCCTAGCGATTCCTCCGACTAGGCTCGGCTTTAACTCGCCAGCTCCTCCCTCCGTAGTTGGCGATGTCCTCGGGCGTGAACCGATTAGGAGGCGAGAGCGTGGAGCTCAAAAAATCCTCCTCCTCCTCCTCCTCCGCCTCCTCCGCCTCCTCCTCCTCACACGTTGCCCACCACCTCCGCCTCCCGACTCCTCTGCATGACTCTTCGCCAGACGCGGTGCGGAGCGCGCGCCTGCACGCCGAGTTTTTTTGTTGCAGGACGAGGGAGAAATGAAGGGGCCCAAGGACACACAAATAGATACACACACAAATAAAAAGATTCTCCATATTTTGGGTGTTTTCGTCTTCCCCCCCCCCACTTCCCATTGTTTCCCATATTCTGGGGAATCGACGATTAATTGTGTCTGTGTGTGTGTCTTTCCCTCCTGAAGGAAGAAGGCCAGAGGACGCCGCAACGGGGATAGGGGTGCCAGCATGTCCAGCACCACGTGCAGGTGCTCCAGGCCCAGGAAGATCTGCCCGATCCAGGCCCAGACCTGGGGAGGCGAGCAAGTAAGGAGGAAGGAGGACGAATAAGAAAAACACGAGAACGACTGGAACCGAGTTGTTATGTCAGAGAGAACTGGAAGCTCTAGAAATGGTTGGCAGCAGAAGACTATGCGCACGCCGCGGAGAAAGAGAGAGGCCCAATTTAGATCCCACAGTCCGGACACGTCAAGACGTATGCACAGGGGCGAATCTGAGTTAGGCACTAGGCGCTAGGCGGTTAGATGTACCGAGCGACATCTAGCTAGCTACTTACCGGGTTCCCGCAGAGGCCACACATTGTCCAGAGGAAGGGGGAGGTACATGCTCACGTCGCGGGAAAACGACTGCGCGTTGCCCCCATCAAGGATAGTACCCCGTCACCCTTCACGTCAGCCTTCCTCTCCCCCTGCTATCTGAAGGGGGAATCACATGTTCTTGTGTGTCTCAGGTTGGAGGCACTGGGAAAGATAAGCGAGGATAGGTGCTGGTTTTGAAAACGAGACGGTGAGGGTTGCAGGGATTGAGGACGAGAGATGGGATGGAGCAAGGAGGGCTGGGAGAAGGACAAATTAGGCACCGTACGGGGGAGCCTGAAGTGAAATAGAAGTTGGGAGGGTGGGAGATGGAAGGGGGCGAAATGAAGAAGGAGACTCCGCACCCTCTCCTGCCTCTCCTCCTCCCCCGCGTGCAGCACCTTCACCTGCCTAGTCTCCACCCTCCTGCTCTGGGCTCCTGCACCCCGTCTCGAGTCTCCTTGTCCTCGTCGCCGCACAGGGGCCCCGTCGTCACGCTGCCCCATCTTGCCTTCGCTCGGACGTCCATCTCCTCCCGGTGCATGTGTCGGTCTGCGTGTGCGTGCGTGTGTGTGTGCGTGTGTCTGTGTGTGTGTCTGTGCCTGTGTCAGTGTCTGTGTCTGTCTGTGTCTGTGTCTGTGTCTGTGTCTGTGTCTGTGTCTGTGTCTGTGTCTGTGTCTGTGTGTCAGTGTCTGTGTCTGTGTGTGGTGTGTATGTGGTGTGTGTGTGTTGTGTGTTGTGTGTGCTGTATGTTGTGCTGTGTGTGTTGTGTGTGCGTGCGTGCGTGCGTGCGTGAGTGCGCGCGCGTGTGTGCGTGTGTGTGTGCGTGTATGATGTGATGTGATGTGCTGTACTGTGCTGTATTATGTTGTGCAGTGTTGTGGTGTGGTGTCGTGTCATGTGCTGTGTTGTGTTGTGTTGTGCTGTGCTGTGCTGTGTTGTGTGTTTTCTCGAGACGATCATAGATGCTCATGCATGGTCAAAATTTTCTGTCGCTGGCCACGCTGAGAAAAATGCACTCATCAGAAAGATGCCGAGCGTCATATCTACAGACGAGGCCCGCGCCTTCCAAGAAGCAGGGTGCTTCCAGGAAGCCGCCCCCCCTCCCCGTAAGGTTGACCAAACCGTGTGTGTGTGTACCACCTCGGTTTTTGGTTTATTACTTCTGATGTGCTTGCCTTCCTGTTGATTATGCTTTTCGTCATCTTTAAAGGGGTTGCTCAAAGTAGTGGAATGCAGAACGATTCCTGTTGTAGCACATTTTAAATTGAGTTCTTTTGTGGGTAATTAAAAGGGAATTCTGTTCATGGTGAATTACAAAGTGTTTCCTTTTGTGGCGGATTACAAAAAGATTCCTTTGGTGGAGGATTACAAAAGGATACCTTTTGTGGAGGATTACAAAGGGATTCCCTTTGGTGGAGGAATACAAAGGGACTCCTTTTTTGTGGAGGATTACAATTTGATTTCCTTTGAGTGCTTTCCTGGAAGTGAACCAGGGGACACAAGGAACAACAACAAACAAAAAAAATCAGAAAATCCTTGAAAATTAAAAAAAATAAAGGTTTTCAATGGTTTTCCAACGCTTTGAAGCAAAAGCATATAAAAACACAACATTTTCACAATCCGAATGCAAAAATTGTTTGTTTTCATATGGTTTCGGCCTCAAAACCTTGGAAATGCTGTGTTTTTTATATGTTTTTGCTTCAAAGCATTGGAAATTCATTGAAAACCTGCAATTTTCCCAATTTTCAAAGATTGTCTGATTTTTTTGTTTCTTTTGTCCCCTGGTTCACTTCCAGGAGAGCCCTCAAAGGAAATCAATTTGTAATCCTCCACAAAGGAATCCCATTGTATTCCTCCACCAAGGGGAATCCCTTGGTAATCCTCCACAAAAGAGATCCTTGCGTAATTCACCACAGAAGGATTCCCTTTTGTAATTCGCCACAAAAAGGAATCATCATGTGATCCTCCACAAAAGAAGTCCTTTTGTAATTCTTCACAAAAGGAATCCTTTTGTAATCTGCCACAAAATAAAACAATGTGTAGTTCACCACAAAAGGATTCCCTTTACAACAAAAGAAATCAATTTGTAATCCGCTAATGTTTGTTTCGGGCCTCCGGAGGCCAGAGAATCGAGATATTAAGGCTCATTCATCTCTCTGGAACGCGCTTCGGCGCTCACCCACTGGAAGTAAGAGGGGCGAAGAGGAAGAGACGGAGGTGGAGGCGGAGGAGGAGGAGGAGGAAGAAGGGTAAAGAGAGGATAACTTTAGTCTGGTGGGCTGTGTTCCCACCCGATTATGCTCTGTGGAACTCATTGTGACAACGCATTGCTCCCAACGCATCTCGTCATCACCATCATCATCAGCAACATTTTGAAACGCATGCTCGTCATCACCACCGTCATCAACAGAATCTTGAAACACAGACTCATCATCATGATCGTCATCAGCAACATCTTGAAACACATGCTCGTCGTTACCATCGTCATGGGCAGCATATTGAGACACATACTCGTCATCATCATCATCGTCATCAGCAGCATCTTGAAACACATGCTGGTCAGCACCATCGTCATCAGCAGCATCTTGAAACACATGCTCGTCAACACCATCGTCATCAGCAGCATCTTGAAACACATGCTCGTCATCACCATCGTCATCAGCAGCGCATTGAAACACATGTTCGTCATCACCATCATCATCAGCAACATCTTGAAACACATGCCCGTCATCATCACCATCGTCATCAGCAGCATATTGAAACACATGTTCGTCATCATCATCATCGTCATCACAAAAGACACCCACCTCTCATATAATCGCACTACATATGGATCCACTTCCGAGAGAATCCTATTACATATGGATCCACCTTCCATAGAATCCGATTAGGAATGGATCCACCCCTGATAAGATCCCACTACAGATGGAATCACCTTAAATATAATATTATGACATATGGATCCCCCTCTAATATAATCCAATTAGAGATTGGTCCACAACGAATGGCATCACATCAGGGATGGATCCACCTCGAATGGAATCCTGGTACGGATGGACCCACCTCTACTAGAATCCTTTTACAAATGAACCCACGTCTGATAGAACCCCATTACATGTGCGTCCACCTCGAATATAATTCTATTAACGATGGATCCACCTCTGATAAAATCAAAACAGACATGGATACACCTTTAATGGACTCCAATTACATATGGACCCACCTCTCATAGATTCCTAATAAGATGGTTCCATCCCCAATGGCATGCTATTAGAGATTGGTCCACCTCTAACAGAATCCTGTGACAAATGGATCCACCTCGAATGGGATCCTATCAAGGATGGGCCCACCGCTAGTAGTATCTGATTAGAGATGGATCTAATGGAATCCAAGTGCGGATGGATCCATCTCTAACAAAACCCTATGACAGATGGGCCCACCTCTAATATAATCCTATTACATATGGGTCCACCTCTGAGAGAATCCTATTAGGATGGGTCCACCTACCTCTAATGGGGTTCTACATGACATGAATCCACCTCTACTAGAATACTATTACATATGGATCTACCTCTAATGAGATCGTAATACAAACGGGTCCACCCCCAATTCAATCCTACCAGAATCCTGATACAGATGGGTCCACATCTGATGGAATCCTATTACAGATGGATCCACATCTACTAGAACCCTGGTACAGATGGATCCATCTCTAATGGAATCCGACTACAGCTGGATCCACAATTGATGGAATCCTATGAGAGATGGGCCCATCTCAACTGAAAATCTATTAAGGATCGATCCGCTCCAAATGGAATCATAACAGAGATGGGTCCACCTTGTAATAGAATCCTGCTACACATGGATTCACCTCTAGCAAAATCCTATTACAGATGGATCCACCTCTAATTGAGTATTATTAGAGATGGGTCCACCTATAATGGGATCCGATTAGACATGGATTCACCTGTAATGGAATCCTATATGAGATGGATCCACCTCTAGTGGGGTCCTATTAGCGATGGATCCACCTCTAAGATCATCCCATTCCAGATATTTCCACCTCTAATAGAATCCGATGAGAGATGGATCCACCTCTCATAGAATCCTAGTAGCGATTGACCCACCATTTACACCCCCTCCCTACAGAAGGTTTTCTTTTGTGGCGGATTACGAATTGATTCCTTTTGTGGCAAAATATACAGTGATTCCTTTTGTGTCGGATTACAAATAGATCCCTTTTGTGGCGAATTACAAATCAATTGTGTTCGTGGCGGGTTTCAAATTGATCCCTTTTGTGGCGGATTTGAAATGGATTTCTTGTGTGGCGGATTACAAATTGATTACAAGGATGATGATGCTGGTGATGGCGATGCAACACGGCAAAACGAGGTGGTACGCACACACGGTTTTGTCAACTCCACCCCCCCTCCCCCCGGACCCCCCTCTGCGCAAGAGGCTGCTCCGAGGTGGTCCCGACTGGCCCGCACTCTTTGGCGCTGGCCCCGCCGGGAGACCTGCGCACGACCCAGCGCTTCCAGCGCCCCGTGCCTCCTTCACGGTCCTCGTCGTCCTGTCCTCCCACTGGTCACGCTCGTGCTCGTGGCCTGCTCCCCTGCCCTCCCGCTCATCGGGCCGCTCCTCCATCCGCCTCCCCCAAGTCCCTGTCGCTCCCTCCATCCCGCGTGTCCGTTTTCCTCCCGCTCTCCCTCTCTCCATCCCCTTCCCTCCGCAGTCCCCTCCAGTCTACTCTTGCCCGTGGTTCGCATTGAGCCTACGAGAGCACTCCTGCGGAACCTCCAAGCAGAAAGTCACCCATTCGGGAACCACCAGCACCACCCCGCTTCAAGCATGAGGAGGCTCAGACAAGCCTATGTGGAACCTGCAGTCAGGACAGAGGCCCTGCCCATGTCGGTAAACCCTCGCACATTTCGTGGCCCCACGGCGAGGTCCACCGAAGACCCCGATGGCAGGAATGACATGTGACATGCGTGACCGCGCCGCGCCCATTTCGGTACACCCCCCACGCGCCCCGCGGCACTGTAGGGAGCTCTACCGAAGGCCCCAATGACAGGAATCGCATGTCCGACCGCGCCAATTACGGCACACCACTCACACAATTCGTGGCCCCATTGGGAGCTCCACCGAAGGCCCCCGTGGCAGGAATGGCACCCGTGACCGCGTCCACGTCGGCACACCCATCATGCGTTTCGTGGCCTCGTAGGGAAGCGGCTCTACCGAAGCCCTCAGTTGAACATCTGACACGTGACCGCGCCCATGTCGACACACCCCTCACACGTTTCGTGGCCCCAGCCAGGAAGGGGTTCCACCGATGGCCCCCGTAACAGGAATCACATGCGAACCGCGCCCACGTCGGCACACCCCTCACACGCTTCGGGCCTCCAAGGGTAGCTCCACCGAAGGTACCAACAGCGTGATATTGCATGCGGTTCCCCGCCCGCTTCGGCACACCCCTCACACGTTCCGTGGCCCCACTGGGAGCTCCACCGAAGGCCCCAACAGCGTGGTATTGCATACGGTTCCCCGCCCGCTTCGGCACACCCCTCGCAAGTTTCATGGCCCCACTGGGAGCTCCACCGAAGGCCCCGACAGCGTGGTATTGCATACGATTCCCAACCCATTAGGGCACACGCCTCACACGTTCCGTGGCCCCAGTAGGCCCTGTGGTGTCCGTGGCGCTGTCCGATTTGGACCTGATTTGGACCGGATTTGGAACAAATTTGGACCAGATTTGGACTAGATTTGGAGTGGATTCGCGGGAACTAGACGAACGAGGAGGATGAGGGGGAACAGTAGGGGAGAGGAGGAGCAGAAGGATGTGCCAAATGCGGTCCCTACGCGGTCCAAATGCAGGAAAAGCTGATTTCAGTGTCGCCGCCCAAGGCTCCCATGAACAGACATAGAGAGTAGGAACTCCACCGGGTCACCAGAGATCTCAACAGAGTGGAATTGCATGCGGTTCCCAACCCGTTTCGGCACACCCCTCATGCGCTTCGTGGCCCCACTGAGCGGTCCACCGAAGGCCCCAACAGCGTGGTATTGCATGCGGTTCCCCACCCACTTCGGCACACCACCCACACGCCTCGTGGCCCAACTGAGAGCTCCACCGAATGCCCCAACAGCGTGGTATTGTATACGGTTCCCAACCCATTTCAGCACCCCCTCTCACACGCTCCGTGGCCCCACCAGGAAGCTCAACCGAGGGTCTTACCTGCGGCTCCCCGCCCAGATCGGCACGCCCCTCGCACGCTCCGTGGCCACACGGAAATCCACCGAAGGCCCCACACGCGTGGTGTTGCAAGGCGTTCCCAGCCCATCTCGCCACACACACTGTAAGAACGGTTTTTTGAAGGCAGATCTGCCTTCACAAAATGGTCTACTCTGTAAGAACGGTTTTTTGAAGGCAGATCTGCCTTCAAAAAACCATTCTTTTGAAGGCAGATCTGCCTTCAAAAAACCGTTCTAACACACTTTTACCAGCGGATGGGAGCCCAGCGGCAGAGTGCATTAGGGGACGGCACGACCCGACGACGAAAACGACGGACGACGGACGAACGAACGAGACCTCCCGCGCTCCGTGGCCGCCTGGGGAGCTCCACGGGGCAAGCCTGGCGAGCGGAGCCCGTCCCTCGGGGCCGCGCAAGCGTGGATTAGCGATCCGGTGATTCGGCGCGCGGTCGCCAAATCCATGGATTCCGGGGAGGTGCCCTCCCCAAAATGCGGCCGGTGCCGCCTCGCTCGGCGGCGGAAATCCGCCATCTCCCACGGAAACGGGACCCGTCGCCAGTCCACGCCCCCTGGAGCCAGGTCTGCGATCGCCCGAGCCCCCGCCCCGGGCCGAGCCTTCGCCGGCATGCTGTACGCGCTCCCCCTGTGGGCGGCGTTGATCCGGTTCTGCAGGTCGCCTGCGCGGCGCCCCCCGGCCGCCCGCTTTGGCCGGCATAACTCCACGCGCGGGGCTCCCTTTGGCTTCGGCACGCCGCTGGGGCCCGTGGCGTCCGAGGCGCGCCCCGCCGCGTGCAGCAAGACCGCCCCAGGCAAGATCAGCACAACGACCCCGACGGAGGGCTCCTCCCGCTCCTTATCCTCCTCCTCCTCCTCCTCCTCCTCCTCCTCCTCCTCCTCGTCCTCGTCCTCGCCCTCGTCCTCGTCCTCGTCCTCCTCCTCAGCAGGGTTTGGCTCAAGCCGTGCTGGCCCCTTTGCTTGGGGCATGCACAGGGCTGGGCGACGAAACGAGCCGGGACTTACGCGAGACGGCGTAGCAACCTGACGCTGCGGCTTACGCAGGCCGCCACCGCGGCACGCCACAGTGGAAACGAGGGCGCTTGCGTGCGGCCTTGCGCGAGAAGCTGGTCGGCGCGCGCCACCCTTGCAGACGTGCTGCAGCGGATTGTTGCGTGGATGTCTGTCCATGCCAGACCCCGAAACGGCGAGGGAAAAACGAAATGAGTTTCGCGCGTATTGTTGTTCAGGTCTTCGTTCCTGGCCCACAAAGATCCGCACGAAATCCACCTCGAAATCCGGAACGAAATTTAATTTCTCTAGGACACTCCGGGCCCATCCGATCGTTTCCCGAACGCAATCCGCTCTGCGATGTTGGCGCCACGAGAGCTTGCGCGCCAATGTCCGCACGGTGGGCCCCGTTTTCTCCCGAGGCTCGGCTGTCTTCTCGGGTCGGGCGAAAGGGGGGGATAGCAAAGGGGGGGTTTGAGAATCAGCTCACGTAGCTGATTTTCCCGGCGCCTCCCGGCGCCGGGAGCGGCCATGTATCGAGGAATTGGCCCCTCGGTGAGGCCGAAACCAGCTGCATGCAGCAAATTTCGTAACCCCCCCTTTCCCAATCCCCCCCTTTCGCCCGACCCGATCTTCAGAGCGGCAGCCGCTTTCGTGGGTCCTGTGGCTCGGTACCCAATCCGAGGGAGCTCGACCCTCGCCATTTTGCGTGAGCCCCTGCGGGAGCACCGTGTGCCACCGCTTTTGCGGGGAGAAGCAGGCGTCCTTGCAGGGCCGCGCGGTCCCGAGTGGGAGCTGCGGCAGGAACCAGAGTTTTCACTGCAGCTCGGTGGCAACTCATGGGAGCCTCCCATACCATCTTGTCGGCTCTTGGCTCATCGACGCCAGTCGACGCTACATCGACGCTACATCGACGCTAGCCGACGCTACACGTTGGCGATATCTCATCGACTCCCAGACGCTAATCGACCCTAAGGCGGAATTGATAGGGTATGCTGGGATCCCATGATTTGCTACCGAGCTGCAGCATCAGATCCCAGTCCGGACAGTGCGCCCCGCAGTCGAGTGTGGCTCGGGCGCGTCACACTGCAAACCGTCATGGGGGCTTCTCCTCCCACTGGCGGCGGCGACGGCGGACAGCCTCGACGGGGCCTCGCGGTGCATGGGCAAAAGGGACCACCCACCGATCTCGCCAGCCAGCTTGGGGCCATGGAGAAGCGAATCCCTCCTCCTCCCTCCTCCCTCCTCCTCCTCGCTCCTCGTGCTCCAAGCCGTACAGCCTGGGCGCCCGCTGGCACCGCGGTCATGCGGTGTACTGCCGATGATCCCATGTGGGTTGAGGCATGTCCCCTCCCCCTCCCCCCTCCCCCTCCACGCCTGGGGGCGATCGCTGTAATGGCGTGAGCCAAGAGGTCCCTCCACCCCCTTCCCTTCGGACCCTCGTAAAGGGAAGGCGGCACGGCCCCTGGGTTGAAAAGCCCAGGGGTGGACGTTGTCCGCACCCTTGGCCGGAGAGTGGCCCGCCACCCCCCCCCCTTCCAACCCCGCCCAGGTCCTCGCAGCCAGGTTTGAGCCCTGGCACGTTGAGTTCTTCGCCCCAGCAGGATGACCGTCGCCCCATTATGGGAGTTGCGACCTGCGCTGGGGGTTCACAGGTAGACCTGCATTGCTCCACTCTTCCTATTCATCCTCTTCCTCCGCCATGTTCCTCCTTGGCATCGATCCTCGTTCCTCGCTCTTCCTCCTCCTCCTCCTCCTCTTCTTCCTCCTCCTCCTCCTCCTCGTCTCCCCCCCCACCTCTATCGTTCGCACCTCCACCTCCTCCACCCTGTAATAGGAGGAAGCAATCCCTCGTGAGCAACGCTCCGTTCCTTGTGGGTGGGATGGGTTCCGGTGCGTTCAGGTTGCGGTGGCCTCCCCCCTGGCGCGACCAGGTCTTAGCCTGCCGAAGGGGGCCGGAGGTCGGCCTCGGCTCGTGCCCGGGACACCTTCGTGCACGAACGCCCGCGCGTGGATGCGCGCCGCTGCGGCGGCAGCGGAGTCGCGCCCCTGTTGAGGCTGTAACCGCAATCTCCCCTTTTGGGCCCTCCTTCCTTCATTCATCCTCCTCCTCCTTCTCCTCCGCCTCCTCCTAGTCCCCCGCGTCCTCCTCCTCCTCCTCGTCCTCGTCCTCTTCCTCGTCCTCCTCCTCCTCCTCCTCCTCCTCCTCGTCCTCCTCCTCCTCGGCCTCCTCCTCCTCGGCCTCCTCCTCCTCCCCACGATCCTCCTCCTCGCTCCCACCCGCACTTCGACGGCCCCCCCCCCGTGGAGCGGTGCAAGCTGGTCAAACAGTCCTGCTCGACAGCGGGTGCAGCGGCCAACGTCGGGGCAGGGAAGGGCACTGCTGAGAGTGATGAGCAGGATGAGGATGGTTCGGCGGTGGACAGACCTCCCATTAATAAACCTACCCTTAGTGAAAACGGCCTGGGACCGAAACCGACGGACCTGGACCAGCAAAAATAACGGCCGTGACGCCCTCTCGCGAACCGAAAACGGCCAATTCACTAATCGACGTGTCAGGGTAGGAGGTCTATCAACCTCCGAATGGTGCGGATGCAGAGGTTACTACTCGTGTGCAGTACTTGGCGGAGTCCCTTCAGGCTCTCAACAGCTGCGGGGATGATGCTCGTACCACAGCCAGTGCGCGAGTGTAGCCCGAGCTTGCCACAACCCGTAAGCCGGTCCTGCAGAAGAAGCAAGCTCTGCCTGACCACACGGCGCTCAGGCGGAAGCTGGCGGACAAGCAGCGCCAGGTGGAGGAGAAGGCCCAGGAGATCGAGGACCAGATTACGTGAGCTGGCCACCAATGCTCCACGTGCGCTGGCGCTCCACCGAAGCCCTCAGTGACTGGGTCCGCCTGGCGCCGCCCAGCACAGGGTCGGCACACGGTTCGTGGCCCCACAAGGAGCTCCGCCATTGGCCTCAGAGGCAGCGCCCGCATGGCGGCACTGCCTCCACTTCGGCACAACCCTCGGCGTCCGTCGGCTCACACCTCCCTCGAGGCACTGGCCTAGGGAGGTGATGCGCCACCGACCTGCCCGGGATCGTTGATGGGCCAATTTTCCACCACCAGTCCTCCACCTCCTCCTCCTCCTCCTCCTCCTCCTCCTCCTCCTCCTCCTCCTCCCTCCCCTACATATGGTAGTGGTAGTGGGACATCGGCCCCTCAAGCGTTGGCCGCTTGGGCTCGGAGCGTGGGCCGAGCGTAGTACCCGCTGACGACCTGAACAGTGAAGCATGGGGCCCGGCGCTCTGCCGGAGCCCTGCCCGGCAACGCATCCACTGTTGAGGGCGTCTCTCGGAGTCGTCTTGAACCCGTGAGACCCGCAGTGGCGTCCCGGGGGCCCGAGTACCCGCACTGGTGGCAGGGGTCCCAAGCCAGGGGGGCCCAGGCCACCCTATCCATTCCTCGTCCTCCTCCTCCCTCCTCCTCCTCCTCCCCTCCCTCCCTCCTCCTCCTCCTCCCCTCTCCTCCTCCTCCTCCTCTTCCTCCTCCTCCTCCTCCTCCTCCTCCTCCTCCTCCTCCCCCTCGCGCTTCTTCACTTCTACTCTTTCCTGCAATACCAATATTAGGGCAACCGCCAGACCAGATGGCGAAATCACAACTGCTAAGGCAAGCGGTGCCCAAAACTGGCGCGGCTTCATGTTGCCTTATCCTACTCCTGCTCCGCCTTCTATTCCTCTTCTCCCTGCCTCCATCCATCTTGGGTCGTCTTGGGCTGATCCTGACGCCCTCAGGGACCACCTGAGACGTCTCATGGGCAATCTGCTGGCGCGAAATGGAGGCACATCCCCTGGGACCAACGCGAGCACTGAGCTGTGACCTCGAGTGCAATATCTGGGTCGTTCGGGCCTCTCCTGCGCCTTTGTAGGATCCTCGGGAGTGAGAAGACAGCTGAAAGGAAATCAGGAAATCTGGCGTCCTTTTCGTTCAGTGGGCCGCCTCGAAGCCGTGATGGGAGGAGGATTGTGCCCTGTCTGAGGTTTCGGCCTTGCGTGGGGACGTCGTGGGGAGGGCTCCCTCACGTCGGACGATTTTGCCATCTTGGGGGGCAGACTGGAGACACTTCCTGGCCACTTCCAGTTATCTCGAGATCGTTTCAGGGCCTCTCGGGCAAAAGCCGCGGAAGCGGTGTATAGGGGTATGTCCAGGGCCCCGTGGAGCTGTCTTGGGGACCTGCTGGGCCATCTCGGGCCATCTTGGGGCCCTCCTGGGCTCCTGTGGGTCGTCTGGAGGTCTCCCCGGGCCGAATTCAAGCCGTCTGTGGTCCGCCTTGGGCCGTCCTGGCGCTGTCTAAGGCCATCGTCTGCCCCTCCGAAGCCCTGTTGGGGCATCTTGTGACCCTCTTGGGCTGTCTGGGACCTCCTTTGGGCCATGTTGGGGCGATTCGGGGGGTCTTCAAGGTCGTCTGGGCGCAGCGACAACAAGACAGTCGTGAATACGAACGTCGCTGGAGCACAAGCGTTCGAACAATGTTTTGCCTCGCAATGCTCTCTCGTGGGTGCGCTCGGAGGCGCTTTTGCGGTCCTGCTGGTGTCTTCGAGCCGTCTTGAGGCCATCTAGGAGTCTCTAAGGCCACCTTGGGCCACCTTGGCGGCTTCTTGCCGTCCTCGCAGGCCATCGCGGAAGCCTCTGGGGGGCCAAAGAGCCTCGCCGAGCCCTGAACTGGCCCGCTGTCCCCTGATTGGCGTGGGGGGGGGAGTGGGCCGCCCTGGAGCCAGAGGGGCTGAGGTGAGCGCATATATAATAGGTGCGTTCCAGGAAGCGTGCACGACAGTAGTCGCACAGCTCTTCTTCCCAGCTCATCTAGCTCCTCGTCCTGCGTGAGCTTTCTCCTCCTCTTCCTCCTCCTCCTCCTCCTCCTCCTCCTCCCTCCTCCTCCTCATCCTTCACAGGATTCAGCAGAGGATGGAGGAGGAGAGAGGTGGATGGGGGATGTAGAAGGAAGGGAATTTGTAAAGGTCCGACAGGGCTCCTCGTGCACGATAATCGTCGCACAGCTCTTCTTCCCTGCTCCTCTCGCGCCTCTTCATGCATAATCCCCCTGCGTTGCCAAGGGGAGCCCCTCTGAGCCGTCTGGGTGGGAGGCTCGGGGCCTCTTGGGCGGCCTCGTGCCGCGAGAGCCTCAGGAGAGCTCCAACGGAGGCCCGAAAAGGTCCACGAGTCCGAGACTACTGAATACTAGATGCCTTGACTGGTAGACAGGGAGAGACTGGGCAACGAATCGCATCACTGTCGCTCATCCTCCGTTCTGGGGCCGGCGGGTTGGCGCAAGCCTCTCGAGTCCACGTCCGAAGCGGTGACGTGCTGAGCGGCAGCGTTTCGAACACCTTGACGCAAACGTGTCCAATGTAGCACATATTACACAATTGCTACATGCCATACTCTCTTGCAATATGTCTCCCCCCCCAAACGTCCCCTGGAGTTGCGCCACATCGGCGGACCAAGATGGCAAACTGGCTTTGGGTACCCAAACACGTACCAATACGCATGGAACATCTATGAGATCGGCCTCTGGGGCCTCCTGGGGGCCCACGAGGGCCTCAAGACGGCTCAATTCAACTTTCCGAAAGCCCAAGACGGCCCCAAGACGGCCAACGATGGCGCCAAGAGGGCCCAAGAGGCTCCCAAAATGGCCCTGCAGGGCCACAAGACGGCCCCCAAGAGCACAACCAGAGGCCAGAAAGATTGACTTTCCAATTGGTTTTGCAATCTGTTCACGTTCTCGCCTGTTTCGATTCTCGGGGGCCCATGACGGCCCAAGCAGCCTCCAAGATGGCCCCGAGACGGCCCCAAGAGGCCCCAACACGGGCCAAGAGTCAAGGGGCTTCCACAACGGCCCAAGAGGGCCCCAGGAGAGCCACAAGGCGGCCCCGAGAGGCCCCCAGGGCGGCCTTCCGAAGGGGCCAGACGGCGCAAGAGCGCCCCAAGACGGCCCACGAGGCCCCCCCGAAGGCCCCAGGAGGCCTCAAAGAGGCACCCAAGGAGCCCCAAGGGCCCCCAAGAAGCTTCCAAGAGGCCCTTAAGAAGCCCCCACACGGCCCTCAGAAACCACCAAGACACCCGTGGAAGTGCATACGAATGGCGCGGTGTTGCTTTGCAATGTGAACTTGGCGTTCCCTTGTGCTGACACGCGGTGAATGCCCATTGCCCTCATGGACATTGGCACGCTCGTCCAGGCGCTGAAACGCGGGGGGCGCATCCGATCCCCGTGGCACTGGCGGCGTCCCGGGGCGGGCACAACGACACGGCAGAACGTCGCGGCCGACGAGCAAGGCAAGCCACTCAACGTCCAGTCCTTACGTGCTCTGGACGTGCACCCCGCGAAGCGAGAGAATCAATGAAGCTTCCAGTCGGGGGTATCTGCAGCATTCTTCTAAGGCAACGTTGGGGGTTCTGGGAACCTTCTTCAACGCTCGCTCGGGGCATGCTTGGCCTGTCATGGGCCTGCACTAGCCGTTCTGGATGCGCCTTCGGGCTCCAGCAGGCCCCCCCGTCAGTCCCAGGAGCGTCCCTCCGCTGTCGCAGTGCGATGTACGAGGCCTCGTTGGCTGTGGCTGCAGTGGACGCTTTGAACACAGAAAGCGTGGGAAACGTATCCGCCACCGTGCCACCTGGCACGCGGAGGCGTGGCAGAATGCCAAGTTCTATGTGGCAGGGGTAAGTTTGGCGGCGAGCGAGGGGGGGAAATGGGGAGGAGAAGGCCTTCTCAGAATGCGAAGGAGCCTTCTCAGAAGCCCTCGCGCCTTCCGAGAAGTTGTCTGTCTTCGGGGACGGCTCAGGAAGCTCCTCAGCAGCCCGGGGGACCTCCGAGCCTTCTGGGAAGGCCTTCTCCTTCTCAGTACCCCCCCTCGCTCGCCGCCGATAAGTGCCACCCCCTCTCGTCAAACTTCCCCGCAGGCATCGCCCGCCCCAGCCCCAGGCTCCCTGGGTGGCCCGACGCGTGCACTCTGCTCTCCACGTCCCTGCGAGGCTTTTCCAGTACACCCCAGAGGGGCCGCCAGGGCTGCCAAGAGAACCCTACTGCCTCAGGAAGCACCCAACGTCGCCAACATGCACCAAGAGGCACTAAAGAGATCCCAACAGGCTTCCAAGACGCCTCAGAGAAGGCCGATATGGCCTCCAGAAGTGCCAGCACAGTGTAACACCCAAAACAACATCTGCTTTAGTGCCAGCCGCCGTGGACGGTCGTCTTGGGGTGGTGCTTGGAGAGTTTTGGAACCATCCCTCAAACACCGCGTATTTGAGGCACACTTGGAACCTCTTGGGGCCTGTTGGGGGCATCTTAGCGGCCTTTGGGAGCACTTTGGGGGGGTCTTCGGGGCCTCCCGGGGCCTCTCGGGGCACTCTTGTGGGGCTCTTGGGGGCACGGTGGGAGTCTTCGGGGGCTCTCTTGGGGGCCCCGTTTGGCCGTCTTGGGGCGAGCTCGGGGGATTCGTGAGCCGTCTTCGAACATCGGGAGCCCGAAAAGGCGAGAACGCTGCCCATTGAAAAATCACTGGGGAATACATCTTGCTTCATAGAAAACTCATTCGGAAATACATGTTGTTTGACTCCGGGGGCGCTCGGAGGGCTGTCCGGGGGCGGTCTCAGGGCTTCCTGTTGGAGCCTCTGGCGATAAACACCCCGCGAACAACCATTGGGCAACTCACGAAGTAGACCTTCGGATCACCCCGGGACAATCCACGAGACAACCCTCTGGGACCACCCACGGGACGGGACAACCCGAAAGGGACCGCGAAACCCAGAAAAGAACTGGTTGTCCGATTGAACCCCTGCCTCGGCCGACACATCGTCGCCCCCGCGCAGCTTCGCCCTACAGGAACGCACGACACGAAGCGAAAGCGGAATGGATGTCCTGGCTGCTCCACACTGGCCCGATGGCACCCTGGCGGTGCGCAGATGAGGGTACACCCTGGCGGTGCGCACCCTGGCGGTGCGCAGATGAGGGCGGGGGGGAGGGCGGAGGGCCTCTGAGAAGGATGCTGCTTCTTAGAATGCGCCGGCCCTGCGTCTACAGACGAGGCCCGCGCCTTCTGAGAAGCGGGGGTGCTCCGAAGAAGCCTCCCCCCCTCTCTCTGCCCTCCTCTGCGCGTGGCTGAGCACCTGCAAGACACAGCCAGGACGAGGAGCAGCTCGGGTGATGATGCATCGAGAGTCTCTGAGATCTGGCGCCTCTAGAGGATGCATCGGGCGCAGCGCTCTTCTGAGAGTGCTCCGGAACGCCCTGAGAGCGCTCTGAGAGCGCTCCGCAGCGCATTTTCTGTCCTCGTCCTGGCCCCGCCCGACGTGGCCACACCACTCGGAGACGACACCGCACCGACGTGCCCGGCCGAAGCGGAGGAGCCGCGGGCGGCCGCCGCGCCTCCGCTGCAGAACTCCATCACGAGCAGCGAGAAGCGGGCGGAGCCCTCCACCACGTAGTTGCCGAAGACCTCTCCGGCGCGCGGGGCGGGCGCGGGGCGGAGCGCCAGGCGAGGCAGGAAGGGCTGGCAGCAGACTCGTGTCTGTGTTTGGACGACGCCCCCCCTCGCCTCGCCACCCCCGAGTGTGCGCGCGCCGCCGAGGGGGTTGGGGCGCAGCTGCTGGGAAAGCTTCGTCGGAAGGACTAAGGAGGATGAAGCCCCATTGGCAAGACGAAGCCAGGACGAAGATAACATCGGGTCAGGGTACATCGAGAGGTCTCTGAGATCAGGGCGGCTCTGGAGCATGTCTCGGGCGCCGCGCCTTCTCAGAGCGTTTCCGAACGCTCCGAGAGCGTTCTGGAACGCTCTGGAACGGACTTATCCTCGTACCAGCCCCGTCTGAGATGAAGGAGGCTTGAGCCGCATTTGGGGGGCCGCTGAGCCAAATTAGGCCTCGGCTTCAGCGGGGTCAAGCCGGATTCAGCGGGATTCAGCCGGATCGAGCTGGATCAGGCTGGATTGAGAATTCGGACCAGGGCAAAGTCAGAATCCCACCAGGCCTCTGGGCGTAGGTGGTTTAGGGAGTTTCCTCTTCCACCCCCCTTCTTCCCCTTCAGGGAGGGGTTTACCCCTTCCCCCCTACCCCCACCCCTGGACCTGGACGGGCGGTGCCGCGACCTCATTGGAGCATCCAAAACGGCCTCGGCGAGGAAGCCAAAATCATTGTGTTTACTAAGGTCTTGGCTCCATTTTGGCCTCTTGGGGGGGCGAGGCCAATTGCCACCCCCCCTTCTTTGATCGATATCCTCCAAGGTGGCTCCAAGACGCGCCTGGGAGGCCCCAAGATGGCTCCAAGAGGCCCCCAAGAGGCCTCCCAGGATGCCTCCAAGAGGCCCCCAGAAGGCTCCAAGAGGCCCCCCCCCTGAGGCACCCAAGACGCCCAAGAGCCCCCCAGGACCGCCGAGAGACCCCCAAGAAGTCCCAAGAGGCCTCCAAGAAGCGCCCACGAGATATGCCAAGCGGCTCCGAGAGGCATCCAAGAGACCTCTGGGCCTTTTGCTTGCCGTCCTCCTCCTGCTCCTCCTCCTCTTCCTACTCCTTATCTTCCTACTCCTCCTCCTCCTCATCATCATCAGCAGCATCAGCATAAGCATATCAGCATCAGCATCAGCACCAGCACCAGCATCAACATCATCATCATCATCATCATCATCGTCAGTCATCATCATCGTCATCATCCTCATCATCATCACCACTACCACCATCATCAACATCATCATCAACATCATCATCATATTACCATCACCATCATCACCATCACCATCATCACCATCATCATCACCATCATCATCAAAATCATCATCGGCATCATCATCATCATCATCATCATCATCATCATCATCATCATCATCATCATCATCATATTAATATTCCTTCTCCCCACTCCCTCATCCATCAATCCAGCCTCCTCCTTCTCCTCCTCCGTCCTTCGTACGGTCCGGCCGTCCACCTCTTTGCTCCCGCATTTCCCTGATCACCTCAACTCGCCTGGACATCGTTTCTGGATGGGCTTGTGGCGATTTGTTGAGTCAACGGCCGCGGGCGGAAGCGCCGGCGGCGTGTCAAGTCGAAGCGGGTACGCGCCACAGACTAATTAACAGCAGAACTGGGGCACAGTACTGCCAGAGTGCGCATGCCAGAGGCCGAGGCGGAAAAGGCAAGAACAGAGCGACGGGCGAGGCGACAACTAAGCGCGGCCGAGGCCTCAGAAGGGGGGCTGCCACGGCTGAGCTGAGGAGAACTGCCGTGTGCACAGCAGTTCCGGCTTGTGGCGATATTTTTTTATCTGCGGCCCGCAAGGAAGAGTCCAGAGGGCGTGTCTATCGGGCTGACTTGGGCACAGAGCCAGATAATTTGCGAACCCAGCTGTCACTGTCGACAGCCGACCGCACATGCAAGCATGCAGAACAAATTGGGAAAACGGGCAGACGAAGGCACCAGGCCAAAGCTTGTGGCGATACGCGAAACGTCTAAAATTCCCAGGAGTTGTGTCCGGAAGGAGGGATTATAATCGAAGGCAGGAAAAGCCGAGAAGATGAAAGCGGGTGGCACAGCATTGGACCGGCAAGGTCTCACGGTGGCCAGGAGGCCCCTGGCAGCCTGCGAAAGCTGACGCGCGATGTCTCGGTACATCGGCAGGCATGCTTGGAACAAGAATCTGAGACGGTCGCAAGCCAACGCCACCCTGTCTAGAGCAGGCCAGATATGGACATCCTTCTGGTCCAAACGCACCTGTCCACCATTACGACAACCGCCCTGGCATTTGCGGAAATTGAGGAGGTTCCGCGCCACCATCAAGGTATCCAAAGGACGACCGATAGACCCAGCAGACAAGTGTAAACGCCGCTAGCCGGTGCGTGTCCACAGAGGCTTTTCGGCAGGTGGACCGCGGTGCACTGACTGAGGGCCGCCACGAACTCCAGCGGAACTGGCGGTCGGCAAGCTAACCAAGTTCTGTATGTTGGACGTCTCGTTCGTATTAATGCTAGGCATGTGCGGCACGCCACGGACTGGCTCGACAAGCTTCGACATTCGATATTTTCCATGCGAATCGCCGGCCGCCAAATCTCTCGACCCCTTCCCCACGGCCGATTGTTCAGTATGGTTTTGCTTTGGCAACGGCGCCAGGATCCAGAAGCGGCATCTGGCCCCCGACGTTGTCGTCCTCGCGCTCGACGTCTTCGTCGTCATCGTCGTCCTTTCCGGTTGTTGTCCTCATAGGAGGCAGTCGTCGAAAGCTGTCATCGTCCTCCTACCTTGTCGTCCTCGCTGTCGCCTCCGCCGCCGTTCGTCGCTGTCCCCTGAGTCGTTGCCACTACTTCTCGTCGTCGTTGTCGCGTCCCCGTCGCCAAGTGCCAGCTGTCGTCGCCGTCGCCCGCCCTCGTCGCCAGCGACGTCGTCTTCTTCCTCGCCGTCATCGCGGCCGCCGTCCTCGCAGGCGTCGTCGCTGGCCTCGCTGTCGTCGCCGCCCTCGCCCGCGTCGCTGCCCCAGTTTGCCCTCGTCGCCGCCCCAGCTCACGCGCGCGGAGGCGAGGGCCGCCTGCACCACGAAGGGGTGCGGGTTCATCATGACGTGGTTGGTCACGTCCCGCTCCCGGCCGATGAAGACCTGAGCCACGGCGGGCGAGCCGTCCCCGCTGCCGTCGTCGTCGCGGTGGTGGTCGTCGCCCAGCTCGTCCCCTCCATCGGGCTGCTCCTCCTCCTCCCCCTCCTCCTCCTCCTCCGCCTCCTCCTCCGCCACCTCATCCTCCTCCTCCTCCGCCTCTTCCTCCTCCTCGTCCTCCTCCTCCTCCTCCTGCCCCTCCTCCTCCCCCTCCTCCTCCTCCTCCCCCCCCTCCTCCAGCAGCTCCTCCTTCCGTCATCCTGGTCCTCCTCCGTCTCGTCCTTGTCCGTTCCTTCTCCTCCTGGTCCTTCTAATGCGGTCTTCTCTCCCCTTGGCGGGCTCCAAGCTTCAGCCCGCAGATCTTTGACCCACTTTTCTCCCTTCCACGCAATTTCCTCCTCCTGCTCCTTCTCCTCCTTCCCAACCTCCTTTCCCCCTGCAATCGTTCTCAGGCCCATGCCGTCCTCGCCTTCAACAGTCACGTCCTCCTCATCTTCCTGCTTTCTTCCACAGATTTAGCTTTTCCCCGATCCACACTATTTTTCTCGTTTCCCTCTCACCACGTCCTTACTCACTCCCTATCTACCCTCGAGACGGAACGGTGCAACAGAGGGAGGATGATGGGGGCAGGGGGGGAGTGTGGAGTTGCAGCCGAGAAAACAGACAACGCACGATCGACCACCATTGCGGACATGTGTCCGGATGGTATGGTTAAACACATGCACGCTAGACAAAAAAACAGAGGAGGAAACTGAGGAAACATCCTTCCTGTCAATGTCGTCGTGTGTTGGTAATGGTGTTCGTCTTACTGGTGGTCGGCGCTCGTGGATGGTAGTGTTATTGTGGTAAGAATGTGATATTGCTGTTGCTGGTCGGAGATGGCGGTCTGTACTGGGCTTGGTGTTGGAGCTATCGCAAGGCGCTGGCAAGTGGTGACTGGTGGTCTGGCACTGGAAAACGGTCGCTGGGCCGTCTTGGAATATGATCGGCTGGCCGAGGTGTGCCAGCTCCCACCACGCGGTGGGAACTCAACGTGGATGGTTGCAATGCTCGCCGCGCGGGCTCGGATCCAAGGCTAGTTGGCCATGAGATTCCATGTCGTTGTGTGCGCCTCAACGCCATGAAGACCGGCTGCAATGACGAAACTACCGAACAGGGCCTTCAAGTTGGATAGTCGCTGGCTGACCAGCTGGAGGCCCAGGGGAGGCACGCCAAGCGGGAGCAGGGGGGGAGAAGGCGAAATGAATTGACGGGACGGCCGACGAATGCCCCCTCGCATCTTCTCCTCTCCACCGCCCCTCCCGTCGACCATCCCCTCCCACATCTGCCCTCCGCCTCCTGCCCCCAATCCGATCCCGTCCTCTGCCATGCGTCATCCCCATCAACCTTGGCCGTCCGTCTCGAATGTCTGTTTCTCGACGCCGTCCTCGGAACATGCGTCGGCTCGGCGTCTGCCATCTTTCCGATCCTCGTGCCAAGCCCCCTCGGATCCTCAACACAACGACGGCCCTCAAGAGCCACATGATGATGGAGGACGGGCGCCGCAAGATGCCAAGGAAGTTCGTTGCCAGCTCTCGGTGCCCTGCTGCGGCAGGGCCTATTGCTCCTGGCGCAACAACCTAGGATCGCATGGAGTGACGGACATCAGCTGCCGCCGTCGGATGGAGAGCGGGTATCTCCATGAACTGCCACCGGAGCTTGCCACACAACTTTGCGAGCAAAACCGTCAAATCTCATGAGCCGTGTATCAGCGCCGCCGCGCCGCCGTCCCCCGTCACGATCGAACACGGGTATGCATACAGTTGGGACTGATTGGAGAAGACAGGCGAGAGGACACAAGACCCTTCCGAGGGCCGCATTGCTATGGGAATGTAAGAAGACGTGGGTCGCGAAGCTCAGGACACAAGGGTACCCTTGATTTGGCAAGGTCGACCTGCTAATCAGTCTCGACTAATGGCTAAGCTCCTCCATCCTCCATCATCCTGCTCCCCCCTTCCGCCCCACGTTGGTGCGTAGCCCTCCGTCCCCCGGGCGGGGTCCGAGAAGTCTACGCACCGCTTGCGTTCCTCACAGCACTCTCGGTTTTGAATGTCATTCCCCGCCTTCCCCACATCCAGCACCCTTCCACCCAACCAGCCCCCATGTCCTCCCACGCCTCTTCTCCCATCCGCATCCTCCCCTCTACTCCCCCTCCCCAATTCACGTCCTCCTCCTCCACCTTTCACTTCATCCTCATTCCCCCCACCCGCCCGTCCCCCAGGGGAATGTCAAGAGGGAATCCTTCGTCCTTCTCGCCCTTCCCTTCCTCCACTCGTCCTCATCCGCGTCGTCGTCATCGTCGCCCTCGTCGCCGTCGACGTCGACGCCGACGTCGTCGCCCTCGCGACCGTCGTCGCAGTCGTCGTCGTCGTCGTCGTCGTCGTCGTCGTCGTCGTCGTCGTCGTCGTCGTCGTCGTCGTCGTCGACACTGGCCTCGCGGCCCTGGCTGCGCTTCACGGCGTACCACTCCCTGTTCCTCACGTCCATGGCGCGCCAGACTGCGGCCGCGTGGCGCGCGGGAACTGGGCTCTGAAGGGGAGGGTCAGCGCGAGAGGGACGGAGGCGAAGAGGTGGAGAGGAGAGACCAGGGGAGGAACCCCAGATTCGACGTCACGGCCTCTCTTCCCAAGCGCAGTCCTCTGAACAGGGCAAGGAGGAATACGCGGGGGGAAACCGCGAGGCATGATATGGAAGCCCCACGCCCTCCACATCGGGGTCCTAGCAATTCAATGGAAGCACCGACAGCCTCACCGGAAAGACGCACGACGTCTCGGCAGGATGGGACTCGTACGCGTTTTCAGTTTTATTTGTCTTGTTGCAGCAGTGCGTCTCGTGATCGGAGAAAGTCCGACATCTGCATGCAGAGAGCTGCGCTGATGGATCAAAAGCAGAGGCGATGGCTCCAACCACGCAAGCCCGCCACTGACCGCCACTGCTGCTACGCAGAGGACGCGCAGTGCCTGGCAAACAAAAAAACCTCAGCCGGCCGTTCCTGGCCGTCGCCCGGCCGCCTTCGCGCGCGGGCGCTCGCAGGGCGGCAGCGCTGCAACGCAGAGGCGAGACAAGAAGAAAAAAAAGGAAGAGGAAGAGGAGGAAGAAGACAATGGGGAGGAAGAAACCGTGAAACCTGCCGATGGAGCCTTGCCTGCAGCCTGCCCTGGCGCCCCCCGGGAGGGCCTCGGGGCCAAGGACCGCCCCCTTCCCGCCGGGAGGCGCCGCTGGCTCCCACGGTGAAGGAGGCGGTGGGCACGCGCGCCACCGCTCCCTCGAGCGGCGGCCGGGCGACCGAGGGCCGAAGGCCACGGCACAAGGGGGGCTGCACACACCGGCAGCTCGCCCCGCGGCCGCGAACGGAGGCTCTGCGGGGCGCAAGGGGTGGGGGGGAGCCCCCCCGCCCCGTTTCGTGCCGAAAGCGCCGCGAGAGCGCACCCCGCCGCAGGCTCAGACGATGACCTCGCCGCCCGGCCTGGCATGCGGGCGCGGCCAGAAGATCAGTGGGTGGCCGGTGTGGTGGGCCCGAGGCTCAGCATGTCCACGATGAACTTGCAGCGGCGCGCATCCCCCGTCAAAGTCGTGTCCGACCGCAGCAGCGCGGGGACCTCGGACAGCGAGCCCCGCCACGGGTCTTCGAGGCGCCCCGCGAATGGCGCGGACATGCTCGCGGCCGCCAAAACGGATGCGGCGAGGTTGGCCCCGCCCGCGCCGTAGGGCACGTTGGCGGCGTCGACCGCGTCCTTCACTAGGACGAAAAGAACCAATTGACATAATGCGTTATTGATACAATCTGGGGATTTCGGTATGTACAACAGCCTTCGCATGGGGTACACGTTGCGTCGAATATTGTCTACTCTGCCTGGCACCGCTGGTCGGTCATCCATTCGCAATCGAGTAGTCGCCCGTATGGGGCTCTTTGGCATTTGCTGATACCCTCTTGCGTTGCGGAGCGCGGGGGGGGGGGGGGGGGGGGGGGGGGACGCTGGCGCACCGCCCCATCGCCCGCCGCCGAGCACCGCGCGCCTCGGCGGACCTGACCTGGCATAGCAAATCACGCGCGACTCTGGAAAATTCTCCGAGGGAAATGTTGAAAACAATCCAAAAACGTCTATGCAAATGCCCGTCCTAATTTTGGAATCCTGGGACCGATTCTGGAAAAAAATCCGCTAACAAATTTGAGAACATCCAGAATCCATTTTGATATTCCAGATTTCAGAAGTATTCAGATGTCCCGCGCGGCGGGCGCTTTCCACCCCTCCAAACTGTTTCTTGGAAATGCATGGACTCTTCTTTGTTGCCTTTCAAAAACTCTGGAACCGCTTTTGCCCCCCCCCCCAAAAAAAAAACGCGCTTTTTGGAAGCGCGTTTCAATCTGGAAATAATTTCCGGGCGGTCTGACGGGCGCAACCGGCTGATTCACGCGCCACGCCACGCGCGATCGGGCGTTGCGCGCGCCGCGCCCTGCGCCCCGCGAAAGGCACTCGAAGGGGTAAATTACATCGAAAATCGCGCCACGGCAACTGGCAGCTGCGAATCGCGGACCCCCGGAAAGCAAAACATACGAGGCCAATTCTTATACACCACCACCGACCGCAACAGTAATTCACCGCAAGAAGGGTTAGGGGCAGGGTCATGCCAGACGACGCTGCGACGCCACGGCGAAAAGGGGCGCGGCGCAGCTCGCAGGCGCCGCGGCATGGGGAGTTCCTGAAGCAGAAGCAGCACTTCTTGGTGGTGGTGTATAAAGATCGCTCCTCTTGGTAACCAGAATTTTCTACACCACCACCGCGCGTGCTTCGATAAATCCTGTTTCGGTCCGTAAGAGATGGGGTAGCCCGGTGTCCGTTGGCGGCGGAAGGGGGGCCGCGGGCTCTCCAGAGCAAAACTGCACCAAATCGCATCGCAGATTATTCTCGACCTTGGCGGCGGCAGTCATGAACTGTGCTCGGGAAAAACAGAGCGCAGCTTGGAATGTCCAAGGGCGCTCCGATGCGCGAAAATGCGCCGCGCATGTCACGGGAAGCAGCTGCGCGACGGAATTAACTCGACCATTCGCCCCTGGAGCCCGCGCGGAAAAACTCTCCAGCGCGAAAGATACCCGCGCCCATGCCCAGACGGGGCGGCAAGGGGCGGGGGGGGGCGACGCGCGGCAGCCGACGGCGGTTGCACAAGTGCAGATGCGACGGCACAAAGGACATTACAGGGCGCTGTCTTCTCCGGGCACCCGCTGGCACCGAAGGCGCGCGCGTTCAAATCGGCAGAGAGGCCGACCGCGCACTAGTCGCTCTCGGGCTAGAGTAGCTCGTTCGGCGGTGCGCCCGCGATCGAAGGCGCAATTTAGCGTCCGGGGCTTGACGCGAAAAATGCGCCCTGCGTGTCCTTGGCGGGCCCTTTAGTGCTTTTAGGGCTACTCGCGGCCCGTTTAGCCCTTGACCCGCAAACCAAAAAGTGCCCTGGGCGGGCGCAGCTGCAATCGCGCGCCGGCCCCGAACGCCTGGGGCCCCGAACGCAGGGCAAGTCGCCAGGGGCTGTTCCCCGGAAAACCCGCCCGGCGTCGCCCCAGCTAGGTCCGGGCACGCGTCGGGGGGCGCAGTCGCCGACGCGCGTCGATGGAACCGCCCGCCACGCACCCGCACCTAGTCGCGGCGGCGCTTGGTCGACAACGCTCTCGGGCGCACGCGCGGCCCCCAAGACCGCCCCCGCACGCGGCCGCAGCGGCCCCCAGGGGGCGCGAGATTGCAACGACGCCCCTGCGGGCAGGCCCAAACGCAACGGAGCGGTTGTGCCAATCCCCAAATGGGACAGGGACCACCACTCCAATGCTGCTCTAATGCAGGCCTCCGAGATGACGTCGGAATGCATGGGGTCAGCGGATCGCGCCGCATCGCCGATGCATCGGCGATGCATTACCGACGCATTGGCGACGCATCGGCGACGCACCGGCGACGAGTCGTCGACGTGGGCGAATCACCGGAGACGACGGCGCGGAGCAAATCGGGCCCCACGTCGAGCCGCGTCGGCGATGCATGGGCGATGCGGCGCGACCCTCCGAGCCTCCGACCCCGTCTACTCGGGCCCCATCTAGGAGGCCAAAATCTGGAACCCGCGGACACCCCCGACGCCCACATGCGCCCCTGACGCATGCCAGGACATGCCGCTGCAATCAAACAACCAGCTGTTCAGCGCGTCGTCGCGCCCTGGCGCGCGGATGCTGAACCAGCGCGCACGCGGCAGGCTGATCGGGCGCAGTGGCAAGCGCCCAATCCAGCGGACGACCCTTCTCACCCAAGCCGACCCCGGGCAAGGGTGCGTTTAGGACCAGTGAAGGACTTGAGAACCTGGAACCCTTGAAAACTATCGATATCAATACTTCATGCCCCTCTGATTCACGTAGCGGGCGCGCCGCGCGCGCTCCGGCAGCCCGACGAAGAGGGGCAGGACCTTGAAGCGCGCCGCGCCCACCTGGAGCTCGAGAAACACGTCCGAACCGGGCGGCCTGGAGCCGATGTCCGCGCCGGGGACGGCCACCACGGGCCGGGCGATCGCGCGGCTGTACTAGGCAAGCGCCCGCCTGAATTGAGGGCGACCATGGGCTGCAGCTGCGGGAAGCAGAGCCGCGCCGTCGCGATGGGAGACTGCCCGAGGAAGCCGCCCGAGCGCGCGACGTGGACATGGAAGGTGCCGTCCTGGAACGTGTAGTTGCAGCGGATCGTAGCGTAGCTGCCGTTCAGGTAGGCGGTCGTGACCCCATCGTCGCCCGCTGCTTTCCCGCGGCCGCTCCACTGCCGATCGACACTTCCGTAGAAGACCGCCACGGGCGCCGCGCGGAACTCCGCCGCGCTGGCCCGCGCGAGCGACCCCTCGCCGGCCAGGCGCGGGCGCATCGCGATGACCGCGCCCTGCCTCGCCAGGCGAGGCGCGTCCATGATGCCGCGCACGCCGAGCGTTCCAGTGCCGAACGCGAACTCTACGTTCAGCACGTCGACCCGCGCGGACTTCGACGGAGCGTGGATGCGCCACCAGACGGCGCCGAGGGCCTGGTCCGAGGCCGCAGCGTCTCCGGAAGGGATCGCGATGGGGATCGCGATCATGTCGGGGCCGAACATTGACTGCTGGCCTAGGTCGTAGCGCGCGGGGTCTGTCGGGTCTTCGTAGTACATCGGGCGCGCCAGGGTCAGCCCGGTTGAGGAGGCGCTGAAGGCAGCGGTGCAGATGTAGGGCATCATCTCGCCCCTCTGCCACGACGCGGAGCGCATCGCGGCGTGGAACGCAGCGGGCACATCTCCCACGGCACGACCCGCGCGCACACCTCCGCGGTGGCGCAAGTGCCCGCGCCCGCGCCCTCGCCGTGCATCCGGAGCATGGGGCTCCAGGCGGGCGCCCGGAACCACCGCGCGGAGAGCTCGCAGTCCTCCGCGGCCCCGCGGTCCCCACCGACCGTGCCGTGGCTCCAGTACCCGAGCGCCACGTTGGCCGCCGTGCTGGTAAAGCATACGGCAGGAAGGCCAAGCCCTTCCACGAGTGCTCCTGGTCGCTGGAGAACCCCACTGGGTACTTTTGTGGCTCCCGGCGCCACCCCAGCGCAAGGGGATCGGGGACCGCGTGTCCTCGCCGCGTCGGGCGTGGTCGGTGTTGCGCAGGCGGTGGAGCACCACGACGGGGTTGAGCCCAGGGATCCGGGTGCGCTCGAGCTTGTCGGTCTCGCCCTTGGTAGTCGAGCCGCGCGAAGTCCACGCCCTGCTTCCCACCTTTCGTCTGCACTGCCCTCCACGCGACGTCCGCCTGCGCCAGCGCGAACGTTTGGTGGTAAAGGTCGAAGGGGATGTTGCTGTTGCAGGGCCGGCGGCCAAGGAACGTGCAGACTTGCTAGAAAGTCTCTTCCGTCGTCTTGATGCCGTCGTGGTCGTGGGTGTTGGCCCCGATGAGCAGGCCCTTGGCCTTGAAAGTGTCCAGCATGCCCTGCAGGTTTGGGAAGCTGTCCTCGTTCCACGTGAACGATCCCCAAGGCCTATACAACTGCCAGTTCATGTCAAAGATCCACGCATCCAGCGGGAAGCTGCGGGCCTCAAAGTCGTCGACAAAGGCAAGGGCTGAGTCGCTGTCGAAGTCGAACCACCGCGTGAACATCGCGCCCAAGGCGGGTACCTTGGTGGCACGGCAGGAGGCCCAGCTGCGTGCACAAAGTCCTTCGGCGCGCCCGCAAAGTCCAAACCGTGCAGGGAAACGAATACATCCACGGAGTTCCTGGAAGGCGCGTACCACCCGTCACGCCACACGGGCGCGCCCGTCTGGTTCACGACCGCCGAGACGGCCGTGGAGACGAGCCCCCAGGCGCAATGCATCTGGGAGTTGTCCATCGTCGGTGGCAATTGAGGTTGAGGGTTTCGGCGTTGTTGTCCAGAGTGCGGGCTGCGCCGCCCAGGTTGCCAATCGGCCCTGTCGTCGCCCCAGCTCCAGGTGGCCTTATCCTAAAGGCCCGACATCCACGGGAGCGCGTGACTGCTCTCGACCTCCTCGGTGCCGTTGGCGGGGAGAGCGGACCGCAGGTGCGAGACGGTGAGGTTGTCCGGGGGCCCAGCCCCCGGGCAGGGCGGACCGGCCGCCCCTCTGGGCGCCGAGGCTCGGGCTCCTCACGCTTGGCGCCGGTGGGGTCGTCGACAGAGACGCGCCCCGCGTCGCACTCGATGCGCACCAGGCGGTGCGTCCACGGCGGTGATGCGCCGGGGCCCGTCCAGGTGCACCGACGGGTCCGGCGCGGCGCCGACGCGCGCGACAGCGGCCGCGGCTGCGGCGACGGCCGGGCGCCTCGGGGCGGCCATCGCGCGCGCAAGAACGGGGGGGCGGGGGGGGCGGGGGCGCCGCGGCCCGCGGAAGAGGGGCCGGTTGGGCTTCGGGGCGACTTGAGCCATGGGACTCGCACGCGGTACTGCAAAATGGGGCTCGAACGCGGCGAGTGAAACTGGAGGGATGCGTCCGGGGGCCCCTCGACCCTGGCTCGACAGCGGCTTCACACCACGAGCAGATTGCAACGCATCCTTCGAAATCGCGACCGTGACACAGGACCCATCTCTCTGCGGCAGGTCTCGAGCACTCTCGACGTTGCAGTCTCGTTGCAGCTACGACCAGGAGACGTCCAGACCCCTTGCCCCGGCATCGGCTTTGGTCCCGAGATGGGTGCTGACGCCCCCGAGGCCCAGCGAGGGCCCCCAGAGGCTGATATCTGCCAAGACAAATTCGCCACGCTTTTTTGTTTCACACTGCTCGACTGGGCCTGGGGAGGGAGTCGGTCAGAAAAAAACAAGGAAGGGCGCAAACGATGACGCCGACCAACGGCTTCACTGAAGAGCATGCAGCAACAGCAGGCTGGCGCCTCGCTGCTCGTTCAAGCGAAACGCGTGAGTGGGGGGGGCACCTCTTATCGAGACCCTTAACGAGGTGAAATTCACTTTCAGCGGATTCAAGCCCGAGGCCCAAAGCCCCAGACGACCAGAAGCGACGACAGACGTCGCAAAGGCAAAAGAACGAGGCAAGGTTAGCGGAACAAACCAAAAGTCATGGCATGGGACAACAACATCGTAGAATATAGCAGCTCCACCTGAAGCAACGTGGCACCATGTCAACCTCTTGATAGGAACTCGGGTTCCACAAGAAATGCACCAGCTGCTGGCGACCCGATTAGATCGAAACCAGACAATTCAGGACACTGGTACACATACTACGCCAAATAAACATGACAACTAAATCAGGCTGAACCTCTGAACCTCTGGCACGAAGTGGAAGCCCGAAGGCTCACCGCTGTGCTGCAATTTCCCAGGTTCCTCTTCCCAGCGTGGGGGGGAGCCTGTGCCGAACATGCCCTGGCCCAGGATGGCGCCTTTGGGCGTAAACTGCTTCCGCACCGAAAGCGGCGAGTCCGTCCATTCCTCACTGGGCGCCGGTGTTCGTCATCCTCCTCCTGCTGCTCCTGCTAGCTGCTCCTCCACCTCCTCCGCATCTTTATCTCCCGCATGCGCTTTCCTCCTCCTCTTCCTCCTCCTCCTCCTCGACCTCCTCTTCGGCCTCGGCCTCGTCCTCTTCCTCGTCCTCTTCCTCCCCCCCTAGAACACCCTGCTAGACACCATCTCACCCGCCCAACGCGCTCTCTGGCTCTCCCTCCTCGTCTTCCTCATCCCGCTCGCCCCGTCCAATTCGCACATCATACTCACCCTGCCGCCACCCCTTCGCTGCCAAACGCAAGAACGTGTGTCGGATATTTTCTGCGGTGCTCAGAAAGTACACCATGTGTTCCCATGTGTTCTGAAACGCGCGTTACAACTGCAGACTCACACATGCGACGTCGGTCTGGGATGCTCCCCGTGTTTAAGCAAATTCTGTGAGGGGGCATGGCGTTCCCGGATCTTTAATTTCTCGTGTAGGCGAGCAAATTACCCGTGATCCAAAGCGCTCCGGATGTTCTTGTCGAGGTGATCAGGACAGGAGAGGAGAAGCAGGAGGAGCAGGAGGAGCAGGAGGAGGACCTGCATTCAAGACTCGACCGCAGTCACAGGCGGGACAGCAACTCTGACAACACCGCCCGCCCTGAATCGTGGCTCCCGCGTTGACGCTGGTCTCGCGCCTCGCGCAACGCAGACGAACTACGCGCTGTTCTTGGTGAGCCGCTACTTGATTGCGCGCGCGCGTCATCCCCCCCCCCCGATCGCTCGGACGTCCATTCCCTGTGTTTTTTTCTGTTTTCCTGCGAGTTTTTTTTTCGCAGGATGATCCAGGATGCTCCTTAATAGTCCCCGCCGAGAAAAAAAGGTGCACACGTCCTAGCGATGCCAGCGCGCTCACGCGCACCTCGCGCTTCGCCCGCAGCTGAGGCGCACGCGGTGGCGTCGGCGCGCGCGCAGCTCCAGCGCGCGCCAATCCCCGCCGCGCGCCATGCGCGCGAGCGCGCGAAGGCACCGGTGTGCGCGCGCGCGAAATCCCAGCGCAAGGGGCGAGCACCGCGGGCGCGCGGAAACGCGCAGCGACAAATCGCTCGACCAAGCCGCGTGACAGATCCGCCCACGTGAGCAGGACCCCCTGTGAATTTACGATTTCCCCGTCGCGCTGCGGACTTTGTCGCGGCCCTGCGCCGCCGGCGGAGTGTAACGTCCACCTCATTTTTGTTGTGCGTCGTTGGCAACTGTGTTTCTTTGTCTTTTGAATTTGTCGTCGGCCTCCTTTTCGGGGTCGTCGGCCACTTTTGTCGTCGGTCCTGTTTTGTTGTCGAGCTGCTTGTTGCTGTCGTCTGTTCACCTTGGTGTCCTTCACGGTCGGGTTCAGAGTCTTGCCCGGGCGCTTCAACATGTCTTGGGCCCTTCGCGGCCGGATCCATCCTCGATACCTCTCACGCTTCCCGCGTCCCCTATCGCCCCGCACAGAAACGATGCCCTGGCGCTGCTCATGCAAGCTAGACTCTTGGTCCTCGCCCACCCCCTGGAGAGACCGCGCACAGCCGCCAGAGGGGGGGGGGCTCAGCGCTGACAGCGCAGGGGACGCGCGACGGGCGACGCGGCGTCACTAGGAGACCACATGCGAGCCCTACCCTGAGGTCGGGTCTGTCCCCCTACAGGGGGATTTTGGACGAACAATTGAAAAATGCCAAAACAATACCCCCCAAAAAATCAAAAAATACTCAACAAATTGTCCCCAAACTGGTTTTTGACTATTTTGGTATATTCCTCCTGTAGAGGGACACGCCCGACATAACCCTACCCAACCACCCCACGGTTTCTAAGAGGGGATGTGGGGCGCACTTCGTTCGTGACCCCCCGAGCGAAGTGAACCCCACCTCCCCCCTTAGAAACCGTGGGGTAGGGTTGGCATGTGATGATGGGCCTGGTTTCCACCACCACCACCGTAAGTTGGACGGGGAGGGGGTCCTCCTCCTCCTCCTCCTCCTCCTCCTCCTCTTCGTCCTACTCCTCCTCCTGCTCATCCTCCACCTCATTTCCCCCGTCCAACGCATGGTGGTGGTGGTGGAAAACAGGCTCATCATGTGACGATCGAGTTGTTTGTGTCTTTCGTTGTGGTAAGGTGCTGTGGACATGGGGCCTATGACAGGCATGTTTGATAGTCAGCCGGCGACGGGCCTCCCGGCCGAGATTGAGGGGCACACGCCCGTATAGAAACAGCTGGACGACCTCGAAGGCAGGTCCGGGGGCCTCCTCCTCCTCCTCTTTCTCATCCTCCTCCACCAGCGAGGTGTAGATGTGAATGAGCTCCTGCCCCTGCTCCTCTGTCCTCTGCGCGCAGGTGGCGACTGGAGCGCAGGGCGTAGCATGCCCTCGCTGGCGGCGTTCCCACCGAGAGAGGGACAGACCGCCATTGTGCACTACAGGTGCCAGACCGTGCCGTGCTATGAGATGGAGGTGAGACAAGTGTTCGGTGTTCAGTTCTGGGTTACATCCTGGTTCCCATGCGAACGTCAGGCAAGGCACCAGGTGAACGAAATGTGAACAGAAAGAAAAAGAAGTGTCCCCCTGGCCCCTGGCTAGTCAGATCGCAACCCCGCGCCGCCAGCATCCCCAAGACGAGAGAGTGGCTCGGACGGGAGCCTCATGACCAGACGCGACCCAGGGAGTACGCCTTTGAACAGCTTGCGCCGCTCACTACACCAGTGGCGCGGCATGCAATTGACCAGGAACCAGGAGACTCGGGTCCGCATTTGGTCAGAGGAAGCCTCCACAGACCATGCACCAAATTCCTGGGAGGTCTGGGTCGACGACCCAGGAGATACAATCAACCCGTATAATACCGACGCACGGTAAGGATGCAAGGGCCTTGCTTGGAAGGCCAAGTCGACACTTTGCGAGAGGGACGCGGCCAGCGGAAACGGCCAAGGATGGCCCGAGGGGGAAGGATGCAAGGGTACCCTTGGAAAGTTGCTCATCCTGACTATGCGGGTTGACTGTGTGGAGGGTGTGTCACCTGTGGTTCTCTTCTGAGAGCACCTTGAGTAGTGGCGCTGCAGCCTCTGAACCCACCATCTCGGGCTCGGGACCCCACATGCCGAAGGCACTTGGCACATTCCAACTTGGAGACGCTGCTCCACATCATAATTTAGTGAGGGGAAGTGGGACAGGTTTCGGCCGCATTTCGACCGCCTCTGAACAACAATATCCCACCTGTTCCTGCAACGAGGGGCCGGGCTGCTAACACGTTGCCAATCCCAAGGACAAGCTTAGAATGGGCCGAGGGATAAACGCCGCGCAATGAGGTCAGCACCGCCATTCGAATAGCGACACTCTCGTTAGTAGCAGTCTTAGCACCATGATGAGCAAGGCGGTTGCCTTGGATTACAGTTCATCGTCCGCCATATCCGGTGCGTCCTCGTCTTGTCGGTGAGCCTCCCGTTGACTCACGGTCAAAAAACAATCGCGTCAAAGCTTGGGCCCCGAATAAAGAGGCAAAACTTGGCCTGGCCAACGTTTTGCGCACTGGCGTTGCTCCTGCGTCGTCGTACGGCTCTGAGGTTTGGGAATTCTCTGAGGCGGAGCTTAACAGTCCGCAGGACTCAGGCTAGACGCTTACCTCCAACACATGTTGGTACCAGCACATCAGCTAGTTGTATGGTGTGTAGGACACTCGAGCAGTAGGTCCAGCGCTGCAATGGTGTTGCATGCTTTGGAATTCCCAGGTTAAGCCTTCACGAGCCCTGATCCCTGCTCCGATCCTCCTCCAACTATGGGATCAGGCATGGACCAATGAGGCCGGCGAATGGAGGCCTCGTGGGCGACCTCTTGCGAGAGCCGCCTCGTCAGCCAGACATGCTGATTGGAAGAGTGTCTCGGGCAAGTCAATGGTTTGACAATTGGCAATACTGTCGATATCAGCACGACCCGCCTCGCCGTCTCCTCGTCTCTCTCCTCCTCCTCCTCCTCCTCCTCCTCCTCTCCTCCTCCTCCTCCTCCTCCTCCTCCTCCTCCTCCTCCTCCTCCTCCTTCTCCTCCTCCTTCCCTCCTCCCTCCTCTCTCCTCCTCCCCGCCCCACCCTGGCGAGGTGGCGCGCCCTCCTGAATTTGCCTGCCCTGGCTGTCGATGGGCGCGAGGTGGTCGACCCCGGGGTAACGCGCCCCCGCCTCCAAGAACTCCTGCAAGTGCAGGGCAGTGCAACAAGTAAGGTTAGTACTAGTAAGCAACGCATGGGAGGTCTCCGCAAGCCTAATATGGGCTATCAAGCCCGATCGGGAGGCCATGACTGGGACCAAGTGGGACTGAGCTTCGGATTAAGCCGGGCTCAACGGGAATTAGCCCGATTGAACGGAATTCAGCCGGACTAGGTGGGATGATGCAGTTCTTTGACCATGGATCTGCCAGCGCCGATGCTGAACTCAACATCCAACAGGATCTGCTTCCTGACTGGAGGAAGGGGACAGGACAGGACAGGATGCAGCGCTGCAGGTGGTCCCGCGCCGGTGCCCCTGGAGGGCAGGACAACACGTACAATGCGAACGCGGCCGCAAGAAACCCTGAATGTCCGCGGGTGAGGGGCAACGATAGGGGGGAACTGGCATATTATGGGGGGACACATGGAGCCGAAATCGGCAATACATCGCCGATGGATCGGCGATAGGCCCCCGATAGCGAATCCGCATCCTCCTGGGCAGGTGGAGACTATCAGACCCCTATCGGCGATCAATTGGCGATTGGGGGTCGATGCATCCCCCCTATGCCTACCTCTCCCTATTGTTGCCCCCGAGTGGTGGATGCAACTGGGGGTAAGCCCTGAAACCCCTGAACGCAGCAGCGTTAGCGGCGGCCGCGAGAATCCGCCGCGCAGCGCGCGGAGCGAAGAAGCCCCAAGGTGCCCTGACGAAACACAGGTGGCTCTTGATGCGCGCCCCCACTGCAAGGATAGCGGCGCTAAGCATCAGAACATGATCGGGGGCGCGCAACACATGGATTAGCGATCCATGGATTTGGCACGCGGTCGTCAAATCCATGGATCGGGGGAGGTGCCCTCCCCAAAATGCGGCCGGTGCCGCCTCGTTCGGCGGCGGAAATCAACGATTTCCCATGGAAACAGAACCCGACGCGAATCCGCGCCCCCTTGATCCATGTTTGCGATCGCCTGACATGAGGAGCAGAGGAGCTAAACCATCGCATCAATACTAGTTTGCCGAGCGCCGCGCGGATTGCCAAGATCGGGGTTGGGTATCACTGGCGGCGCCAGCGCTGCCCCTACCGGACTCCGCGCGCCAAGGAGGAGGGTCTAGCGCAGATCCAAGAGATCCGCGCAGCAATCCGAGCGTTTATGCTTATGTTTCTTCTTGCTTCGACGCAAAACCAACACCGTGCCTGCACGATGTGGGCGCGTCAGAGTGCCAGGTGCTGCTCCGTAGGGCTGTGTCGCATTCTACTACATGACCCCCCCTCCCCCCTCCACCACCAGACAACCGCATGCAGACCTCCTGCTCCCGAAGCCACGACCACTCGCACACACCCACACACACCTGGAAGCCGCGCTTCCGAGGCCACGACCCCCCCGTTTAAAACGAGGTGCCCGCGTCCCGAGCTCAAGCAGGCAACCGAGGCAACCAAGATGGCCAAAGACGCCTCGAAGACGGGCCAAAGTGGCCCCAAGGCGGCCGACGACGGCCTCAAGACGGCCTTGGATGCCTCCAAGAGGGCCCACAGGGGCCCCAAGAGGACCTCCAACAAACAGGGCCCGAAGAAGCCAAAATCACTGATTGCCTTGGGAGTCTACATCATTTTCGCATCCGTCAGCCCAAGACGGCCCAAGAAGCCTCCACGATTGTCCTAACTCGGCCCAAGAGGCCTCTCCGAGGGTCTAAAAATTACCCAAATGTACCCCGCGAGGGCCCAAGAGGCTTTCAAGACGGCCCTGCAATGGCGCACGAGGGCCTCCCGTCGGACCCAAGACGGCCTTAAAAGGCGTGGCGACTGCCCAAAACGGCGCCAAGACGGCCCCACGACGGCGCCAAGGCACCCAAAATACTGCCAAGAGGGCCCCTGGACGGCCCAGGAGAGCCCTAAGAGAGCCCAAAAAGGACCCCAAGACGGCACAAGAGGGCCCCAAGGGAACCCCATGGCTGCTTCGAAGCCGAGACAGCCGCAAGGCGGCCCGAGCGAGTTCCAAGCCAGAACCTTCAATCGTTAAGACGGCAAGAGTCACACATGTGATGGCCTGCCTCTGCCTGCTGCCCTTCTTCCTCGTCCTTCCCGTTTCCAGTTCCTCCTGCTCCTCCTCCTCCTCCTCATCCTCCTCCTCCTCCTCCTCCTCATCATCATCATCATCATCATCAGCATCATCATCATCATCATCATCATCATCATCATCATCAGCATCATCATCATCATCATCCCATTTCTGAACATCACCATCATCATCACCATCAGCATCATGACCATCATCGTCATCGTACCCATCCACACCATCACCATAACCATCACCATCAGCAGCACAATCAGCACCATCAGCACCATCACCATCACCATCACCATCACCATCATCAACAGTATCAGCATCGCTTCACCACCAAAATCTTCATCACCACCACTGCCAGCACCATCACCATCCCCAGCACCAGCACCAGCACCACAACAACCATCATGATCATCATCATCGTCATCATCATCATCATCATCATCATCATCATCATCATCATCATGAACACCATCATCATCACCACCATCGTATACGTCATCATATTCGTCATAATAAAGTTGCTCATCACACCGCACACCCAATTGAATCACCATCGCCACCACTTTCATCATTACCATCAACACCACCATCACCATCATCATCACTGTCACCTTTGCAACGAGCGACCCCTCAAACGTGGCGACACGAAATGTCACACGTGACGGCCTCCAGTGCACCATCGAAGCATCGCCACCCTCAGTACTGGGATGGCTCGGCGGGGGGTTGGAGTGCAGGCAGCTGGATACAGTAGGCAGGGGACGAAGAAACAACAGGCAGCCACTGCGGACCGCCGTCAAGGCCTGCCGGAGGCCGAGTGGATGGGGTTGTGATTTCTGCCATCCTTTGGCACCTGCAGGGAAAACGAGGATCGAGGATCGGATCGGACGACGACGATGACGACGACGACGACGACGACGACGACGACGACGACGACGACGACAACAACGTCGACGAGGAACATCTCGTCGTGCTCGTCGCCATCGCATTTCGTGGATCACCGATCGAGGATCTGATCTGCCACCAGAAACCCTGGTTGGCTGTGTAGGTTTTCTGCCTGCTCTCGCCCCCTTCGCAGTGGCCTGTTGCTGCCTGTCGGCCACGGGTGCTGTTTCGCTACGCCCGCAAATCAGCAAGCAGAATCACCGAGCCCCGAGCTTCATCCGAGCACTCGGCGGTCAAAGAATTTGGCCGCTTGTGGCCCTTCAGTGGCGTCCGGAGGACTACATCTGAGGGCGTCCGGACGCCCAAAAGAGTTCTCTGGATACCACCCCCAAAGGCCCCGGAGAGGGAGGGAAGGGGCGCGAAGGAACAGGGAGAAGGATGTTGTTCCAATCTGTTCGACGATCTCCACCGCGTGCAAATACGGATGTGTGTTGGGAGCTTCACGACTATTCCGGAGGGGGTCGGAGACCTGGGGGGACCCATCTGGTTTTCAAGGGCTTCCACAGGGGAGGAGGAGGGGCGACGGGGAGGGGGCGAGAAGGCTGGAGGTAGGGGGGGGGAGGAGGGGATGCGTGACAACACGGGGGCAGGGACCTCCAGTGCAGGGCCGCCTCTCCCGCGGGTGCAGCTGTGCCGCCGCCTCGAGGGAAGGATTGCCGAGGGCTCGCCCCACGAGCGCCACTCCATGTGCAAATGCACCAGTCGACTGCGAACGCCACAAGGGCAGGGGACTGCTGGATGCGGCACGAACGCGCTCGCATTGCCAAATCTGCTCCCGCCCGCTCTCCTCCCGCCGTGCTCCATCGTTGTCTTTCCTGCTATGCTATCATCGTCGCCGTCCTCATTTGTACTTGTTTCTCTCCCACATCCCGGGCCGAATGATCATACTGATAACACTGACGAGCAGAATAATATCAAAACTAATAACATGAATATTAATCATAATCCTAATACGAACGCACAGACACGGATACGAATAACAAAGCAATGACAACAAATCATAAACATACAAAAACAATAATCAGCAACCACAGCATCAACAGCAACAGCAACAACAACAGCAACATCATAAACAGTATTAATACACGACGTGGAGGCGCGGAGTGTTCGATGAATGTCAAACGAGCGTGCGACGGTCAGAGGGACGGGAAGAGGAGAACGAAGGCAAGAAGGAGGAAAAGGGGCGGGAGAGGCAAGCTAAGCGAGGTCGCGCTTCATCGGATGTTTTGCCCCTCTACCTTCCCGTTGCGCTGAACTTGTATATGTCCGCTGGCTGGGGTGTCATAGATGATATCGATCTCCCCCGAAAAAACATCGTGTGATGCACAATCGGGAAGGGGGGCCGGTGTACTCTGGACGGGGAGGAAATCGTCAACGAGCAAGAGGCAATACAGGGAAATGATGGAACAAAAACAGGGTGAGTAGCAGGAGCGCAAGGACAAAAGGAAGGCCGAGGGAAACGGAGAGAGACGCCAACGACGAGTAACGAATCGGATCCAGAAGTGTGGCCCTCGCTAGGGCAAGCTCGACAATGTGAACGAGGGAAAACACCATAGATCCTGAAGTACGGCCTACGATGCAGCGGGACGGACCGAGAGTAATATGGAGCGGAAGGGAAAGTGGCCCAGTCGAGGGCAGAATTGACGGTAAATTACAGGAGAGGAGGGACAATGGGATGTCAATTGAAGGAAGGGAGGAGCAAACAGGGAGGGAGGGCAGGATGGGTTGCTGAGGGGAGGAGGGCAGGGGCATTGATGGTCGGGGGGAAAGGGCGCGGGGGGAGGGGAGGAGAGGAGGCGAAACGCGACACAAATAAGGAAGATGCCAGAACGGGACGCGACGGATTGGGGAAAGCGACATGAGGGGACAGGCAAAGAATGGCTGAGACCAGGGAAGGCCGCAAGGGTGATTGCAGGAGGAGGGGAAGGGAAGGAAAGAGTCGCGTAGGGGCTTGCTGATGTTCGGCGTATCGTAGGAGTTTCTCGAAGGTCTTTCGGAGGCTGCCCGATTTGTCCCTCGAGGAAGGGACGGAGGGAGGGCAGGGGGGCGGGGCCTGGAAGGCCGGCGTGGGCGGGCCGGGGCCCTGCAGTCGCAGATGTGGAGACTGTGGTCAGCGCTGCGCTGCGCAGGAACGACTGCTCCAGACTGCTCCACCGAGTGCTGCCTCGCGCTGGTGTGAACCATCGTGCGCTGCTGGGTTGGAGATGAGGGGCAACGATCGGGGGGGACTGGCATAGTGGGGGATGCATCGACCTGGAATCGGCGATACATCGCCGATAGATCGGCGATAGGCCTCCGATCGTGAATCCGCACCTTCCTAGGCAGGTTGGGGCTATCAGGCCCCTATCGGCGATCAATGGGCGATTGGGGGTCGATACGTCCCCCCCTATGCCTATCTCCCCCTATCGTTGCCCCCCTGAGGAGAAACATGTCTGCTGCCAGAAATTGCGTGGCACCGTTTTCCGTCCGCTTCTGGTTGCCCCCGTGTCTGCGGCCTGCTCGCGGGTGGTCGTGGATGCCCGGTGCCCACGCCGCAGCAAGTCTTGGCCCATCTGTGGCACGGCCGATTCTTGCGGCTGGCCCTGCCCGCATCGCCATGCTCGTCGAAAGTACACCGTCGTCCATTCATCTACAGGATGCGGCCTGACCTAAGGAACGAGAAATAAGGAACGATAAATAAGTACCCAAGAAAGTCTTCGAAGTCCGAAGGAACGGACGAGCCCCTTTCTAGCGACCCTCATCGACAAAACGAACCCGCGCGTCCAAAATCTCAAGGAACACCAGGGGGCTCGCCGCCAAAAAGGTAGTGGAACGCATACAACCCAAAGGAACGGCCGAGCCCCTTTTGAAAAATAAATGTTCCTTATTCAAGCCGGACCGTGTACGCGGGCCCCTTTTTGCAAGATCTGCGGCAGCATGCGTAGTGCTGCGGACAGATCCTTCCCATCGGTTGGCAGTTCGGCGTCGTCGTCGAAGATCGTTCGTGTTTCGTTTCCACCGTCTACGTGCGTCCCTGCGACGGAGCTGTTTGCGCTGTCGATAGCGGTTTCATTGTGGGATTTCCACGATGGGATTTTCACAGTGTCCGCTGTCGATAACGCTTTCCATTGTGGTCTGCTCGACGTCGTGGGATTTCCACGATGGGCCGCAGGCCCAGGAATCGCAGCAGCACATAATAACAGTAGGCGACTCAATGTTCCGCTGAAAAGACGGAGGTTGCTGTCGTGAGCTCGTCATAGGGCTGGTTGAACGAACCTGCGCAATCAAGACGCGATCCTGTTGGTGAGCTCAGCTTGGTGGTAGCCGTTATCATGACAAGTGGAATTGCGGCCGAAATTGTTGATTGCCTGGTCCGCACTGTGTCTTTCAATGCTGTCGCCATCAACGCTTGCGTGTGCGTGTGATGGTCTGCCCTTGTCGTTGGCGAATGCTTGTAAGAAGTTGGTGTTGTCGGCATTTAGCGCAAGCCCGCACTGTCCAGTTTCTCTCTTGAGGTCCCCAAGAATCGCCTTCTATTGTCGCACATTTGGTGCAAGGAAGAATACGTCGTCTGCAACACGTAACTTGGTAAGTAGTGTAGACATGGCGTGCCCCCGTGTGATCCCAAAATTGTGCGTGCCCAGGAAGACTTGACCTGTCCGAAAACGTGCTCAAGCATTGCGTTGACGAGGCAGAAGCTGAGTATGTCGCCTGGATTGGGAGGAGGGTGGGAGATAGGGAGGAAGGATGCGATGAAGGGAGAAAGAAAGGAACGGCGATAAGCGGAAGGGCACAGGAGGGTAGGGAAGGGAAGGGAGGGGAATCACCCCCTCCTCTTCGCCCCCCCTCCCCCCCCCATTTTTTTCTCCTTTTCCTCCTCGTCCTCCTGCTCTCTCTCCTCCCCTTCCTGGACCAGGGGAAGGGAAAGGTGTGGGCAAGCGCGGGAGGCGGGAGAGGCGCGCACGTGGCCCCGGGACGCCTCCGGAGACCCCCGGCGAGCCCAGGCCATGCTGCGGAGGGGGGGAGCGGGGGCAGACGGGCGAAGGGACGAGCCCGAAAGTCCAGGGGAGGGGCAGGGAACAGGGGGACGGGGCGGGACGGGATTCACTTTTGCAGTTCCACCGCGAGCGATTCTCTCCACAAACCTAGGAGGCGACTTGGGCTGAGGGTGGCACCCCCACGAATGAGGGGCGCAAAACCGCATGATGCTCCAACCACCTGCATTGTGAGGCACTTGGTGGAATCGCGATTCTCCAGTCCTCACCCCCTCTGGCGATTATGACCTTAAAAGGGATGATAAAAACACCAGATAATCGCAAATCCACGCAACACTTCCTCCAAAAACACTCTCCGCTCGCCTCCCTGAACGACCAGACAGTCCCTGGGCGGGTCTCGGTAACATTGTACCGGGGCCCTGAGGCCTAACGGGAACCTCGTTGCGCATCTCACGCGACCTCTGCAGACCGCACTTTTTAATCCAGCAGGTTGTACGATGGCAACGACAACGACCTCGGCGGCGGCGACGACGGCGGCGGCGGCTGCGAGCGGCGCTGGCGACGGCGTCCTTAGAGTCCTCCCGGATAGGGTCCGAGCAAATGGCGTCGGAGGATCGCGCCGCATCGCCGATGCATCACCGACGCATCGCCGATGAATCGGCGACGTCGGCGATGCATCGACACCGTCGGCGTGGAGAACACTGGGCTCCACATCGAGCCGCCTGGGGCTACTCTTAAGTCGGGTCTGTCCTCCTACAGGGGGATTTTGGACAAAAGACAACAAATATCATAGAAAAACCCAAGCTGGTTGAACAGTACTTAAGAAATCGTCCCCAGGCCCGACTTCAGGCTACTTGGACCCCACCTGGGAGGCCTAGAGTCCTTGATGTCCAGCGACCAGGCGCCCATCAGCCCCGTCTTCCTGGCGCAGATGGTGAAGATGTCGCTCAGCCACTCGGTGGCCAGGGCGCTGACGTCCTCGCGGGGCGAAGGGGGGGAGGAAGGCATCAAAACTCCACTCCTCCTCATCCTCCTTCTCGTCCTCCTCCTCATCCACCTCGTCCTCCTCCTCCTCCTCCTCCTCTTCCTCCTCCTCTAACTCCTCTAACTCCTCTAACTAATCCTCCCTCTCCCCCTTTTCCCTACTTGTCTCGATGCTCCGCCTTCTGCTCTCCCTGTCCCTCACCCTCCTCCTCCGCCCCCTCCTCCTCCTCCTCGTCCGTCCCTTTTCATAACGAATATCTCACCCCTGTCGCACCAGCCTTCTGCTCTCCCTGTCCCACATCCTATTCCTCCTCCCCCTCCTCCTCCTCGTCCATCCCTCTTCCTGATGAATATCTCACCCCTGTCGCACCCCCAACACGGGTCCACAGTCTGGGCCGGGGGCTTCGCGTGAGACTTGTTCGCCATGTGTCCCAGAAGCTTGAGATTCTCGTCTTCAAGTCTGCAACAATGGTGACGATGGTTCGCTGGTCGTTTTCTAAATGAAACTCTCGCCTCAGCGCCGCAAAGTTTCAAAGGATGGAGGCCAGTATCAGTTCAACATGTGACTTTCGCCTTGGCGTCGCATGCATTAGTCTTACAAGTCTGCCACTGCTTCAAAGATTGGTCAATTTCAAGTCCCAGAACTGGTGCTCTGGCACGATCAAGGATAGCGAAGGCACGCCAACCACGTGGAAGCGCGGCGTGGACGTCCCAGGAATGGCGTTCTGGCACGATTCTGCACTGTCGGGACGCAACGGTCACGCTGATTCGCGGCGCTGATGGCTCAGGAATTGCGATTTCGCTCGATCTAGGATTCTCGAGAAGTTCGGGAATCGAAGGGTGCCCGAACCCTAACCAAAAGTACAATGTATATAAAGAGGCCCTGGGACATACAAATAAATAGACACAAGTCGCAGGATTCCCGAGATTGTTTCATTTCTTTTGGATGTTCGTCTTCCCCCCCGCTTCCCATATTTTTCCATATGTTCCTGGGCGTCGACAATAAATTGTGTCTGTGTGGCGTTTCCCCTCCTGAGCATAACCGTGGTGCTGTTCTATGTTTGTGGTTCTCGTGAGGCATCTCTCCCCTTGTTTGGAGTCTGGGGTGTGAAGTTCGTGCTTGTGTCTAGCTGTCGGGACGGCTGTCTCTGAATGGGCCACTTCCTGCAGTGAAGACGAACTCTTGCAGTGACCTGTGAAGAGGGAGGGAACTTGGGAAGGACGGGCGCCTTGCAACATCGTTGATGCGCCTTGGGTTTGCACTGGTGAGGAGCAGCGATAGGGGGGGATGGGCATAGGGGGGAAGCTTCGACCTGGAATCGGCGATACATCGCAGAAAGATCGGCGATAGGCCTCCGATAGTGGATCCGCACCTTCCTGGGCAGGTTGGGGCTATCGGGCTCCTATCGGCGATCAATGGGCGATTGGGGGTCGATGCATCCCCCCCTATGCCTGTCTCCCCCTATCGTTGCCCCTGAACGGGGCTTCCTCCTACTCTCCTGTTTTTCTCGACCCTCCACCTTCTGCTCCTTCCGTAACCAATTTGGCTCGAGCCATCCACGCGCGCGAGCGCCGGCCCGCCCGGCGCTGGCGGCCTGGCGGCGGTCCCGCCCTTTTTTGGGGCTGCGATGCAGGTGTGCGCCGCGGTCTTGGCGGCGGCCCACGGTGGAGGAGGGCCTCACGCTGTCGCCGCGGCCGCTGCGGCAGCCGTCCGCGCCCTGCAGGACCCGAAGGTGGGCGCGGTGGGCGAGACGGAGTCGCTGGCGGAGCTGGGGGCCCGCTCTGCGGGAATGGCGCCAGCAAGGCTCCGCAGGCTCCAGGGCGAGGCCAGGCCCCGGACGGGGCGTGCACGGCGACCAGGCAGGTCTCGGCGCACCACGGATTCGGCGCGGGGCCCGACGCCTTGGTGGAGGCCCCGGGCAGCGCCAAGAAGACTCAGCACGGCTGTCGGCTTCGGCGCCCCACCTCGCCGTCGAGCGCGGGGAGCGGTGGCGTCGCTGGCAAAGCGCAGGAGTCAAAGTGCGACATTCGCATCGAGAGCAGCTTGGAGTGCAAGCAGGCATGGAGCTCCGCGCGCGGGAGGACAAGCACTATGAGGCGATAGGTCGTCGAGTCCGACGGCCCCGGGCAGGAGTCACACCTCCAGGAGCAGGGCGGGGTCCTCGCCAGAGTCCGCGTGCATGAGACGCTGGATGAGCAGGCCGTGGATGCGCAGAAGTCGGTAGCCCCAGGGACCGACGACCTGGCGGAGCTCACCGATGGCCACGGGCAGCAGCCGCACCTCCAAGAGGAGGGCGAGGGCCTCGTCGAGGTCCGCATGCAGGAGGAGCTGGAGGAGGACGCGCCACTGTCGAAATGCAAGGCCGCAAGGATGTTCGAGGAGCACTTGGCCAAGATGCGGGCCTGTGAGATGCAGCCGTGTGTGGCCCAGGAGACAAGAAGAAGGAAGAGGAGGAGGAGGAGGAGGACCGCGAGGAGGAGGAGTGGGAGGAGGAGGAGGAGGAGGAGGAGGAGGAGGAGGAGGAGGAGGAGGAGGGGAGGGGGAGGAGGAGGGGGGGGAGGAGGCGGAGGAGGAGGAGGAGGACCTGCAGGAAGAGGAGGATGAGGAGGAGACCTCCCAGCACGGTCACGACGACGTGTCCTGGGCGCAGCGCGCGGCCGCCACGATGTGCCGTCGTGGCGCGCCCCGCCTGTCCTGAAAGGGCCAGAGCCACAAGGGCGGCGAGGGCCACGAGTGCGGCAAGGGCGGCGGCGGCCGCAGGCTCACGTGTGTTCTCCTCCTCCTCCTCCTCCTCCTCCTCCTCCTCCTCCTCCTCCTCCTCCTCCTCCGGCCCCTCCTCACGTAAAACCAAAAAGTGCCGATACCGCTGCTCCCCGGACCTCTCCCAGGGTGCGTCCTGACCAGACCTTCGGGGCGAATCCAGCGGTGGCGGCCAGGGCCTCCGAGGAGGCCCAAAGAGAGGAACACGAGGGGAGGGTAGAGGTATGGGTACCTCGTCCTCCTCCGAGAGAGGGCCACGCGCCTGGTGAGCACGGCGTGTGCGACGAGCGGGCAGGGCCGCGCGTCGGCGGCTGCTGTTGCACCTCGCTCGGGGCTGGGCCCTCCGCGGCCTTGCAATGGGGGCGCCTGCTCCCCCTCTGCGTGGCGCGAGAAAGGGGCCCCAAGTGGCGGGCTGCACCGGCGATCGGCGGCGGCTCGGCCGAGGACCCGCTCTTTCTCTCTCTCTCTCTCTCTCTCTCTCCCTCTCTCTCTCTATATATGTGTATTTTCTGATTCTCTCCCTCCTCTCCCCCAGTGGCATACGATACGCCTTCTGCTCCCCCTGCCCCTCCTCCTCCTCCTCCTCACCCTTCTCCTCCCCCTCCTCCTCAGCTTCCCCCTCGGCGGGAGATTAGAGAGGGGACCGATGAAGAGGAGGACAACCACGACGGAACTCTGCGCGGATTTCGTGGATCGGCGCTGAAGCCCCCCTGGCGGTGGAATAGAGGAACCAACAACGGCATAAACATAATATGTCGGAGCTCCGCGCGGATTTCTTGGATCAGCGCTGAAACTAAGAGCCCACTGGCGGCGGAATAGAGGAACAACAAACGGCATATGCATAAACCGTCGGAGCTCCCCGCAGAGTCCGTGGATCGGCGCTGGGCCCCGTTGGCGGTGGGATTGAATAACAACAAGATGGCATAAACACAGACGTCCGGAGCTACATGTGGATTTCGTGGGTCAGCGGTCGGAGTCCCCCTGGCGTCGGAATAGGGGACGCACAATGACATACTAGTACTGTGTGTCTTCCTGGGAGGCGCGCGTCCGACCCGAACATATAGTATAACAGCCTTCTGCGATTAGCGAAACAAGGACCCCAAACTCTTTTGGGAGGGGACTTAAATTAGGACGGCCAGAAAGATGAGGGACAGGGGGTCTGTTTTGCAGATGTATCGAATCAAACCGCCCAGATCTAGTATCTCTAGTGCAACGACGGGGACCTAAATGAGGCAACGCCTTCACGTTGTTGTTAGGGTTATGGGTTGTAGTATTATGTAACAGTGTAGTAGTTCGTTTCCCGAGCGGTGCGGTCAACAAGCGCCCGCCACCGAACTTACTTCTACGATTCCATATGTATATATATATATAAAGGAAAAATCGATCTATTTCTCCGCGCGGGCGGGCGCCGCCAGAACCCCAGGATGTGTGACACGGCGGCCCCCCGAGCCCATGGGGACGCCGAGTCAAAAAATCTTGACTTCCCGACGCCAGAACCCCAAGATGTTTGACGCGGCGGCCCACCGAGCCCACGGGGGCGCCGCGTCAAAACCATTGGGGCCCCAAAGGTAGAGCCCCAGAATTTCTGACGCGGCGGCCCTCCCGAGCCCACGGGGGTCGCCATGTCAAGAATCTTCAGGCGTTCGCAGGGACACAACCCCAGGATGTTTGACGCGGCGTCCCCAAGAGCTCACGCAGTCTCCGCGGGCCCCAAGGCCAGAGAGCCCCAGGGTACTTAACGCGGCGGCCCCCCGAGCTCACGGGGGCGCCGAGTCCAACATCGCAGTGCCCCCACTGTCAGGGAGCCCCAGGATTTCTGACGCGGCGGCCCCCCGAGCCCACGGGGGCGCCACTTCAGAAATCTGTGGGTTCCCAAGGTCAGGGCCCCAAGATTTCTGTCGCGGCGGCCCCCCGAGCCCACGGGGGGCGCCGCGTCAAAAATCTTCGGTGCCCAAGGCCAGGACCCCAGGATGTCTGGCGTGAAGGCCGCCCGAGCCCACGGGGTTGCCGCTCCAGAAATCTTTTGGCTCCCTGGGCCAACGCACAAAGACTTTTGACGTGGCGGCCCCCGAGCACACAGGAGCGCCGCGTCAAAAAACGTTGGGGCCCTAAAGATAGAGCCCCAGAAGTTCTGACGCGGCGGCCCCCTCGAGCCCACGGGGGCGCCGCGTCAAACATCTTGGGGCTCCCAAGGCAAACAAACAAAGCAAGATTCTTTGACGTGGCGGCCCCCCGAGCCCATGGGGTCGCCGTGTCAAACATCCGAGGGCTCCCAAGGCCAAGACCCCAAGATGCTTAAAGTGGCGCCGAACAAAAGGGCGCCGAACAAGAAGAACAGAAGAAGGCGCAGAAACAATCGAGAGCGCCCCAAAAGCAAGGGCGCCAAGTACACCAAGAAGGGCGCCGCAAAGCACTGAAGGCCGCAAAAACCAGGCCGAACAAAAAAATCCCAGGACACCTGAAAAACCAAGGGCGCCGGGGGGAAAAAAAGAAGCAACAAAAAAAAACAGGGGCGCGGGAAAACAACAAAACAAGAGCGCCGAAAAAAAAGCCGGCCCGAAACGAAAGGCCGACCCCACTCCCAGAAGTGCGGAAAAAAACAAATAAGAGCCGAAACACCCAAGGGCTCGCCAAAAAAACCTAGGAAGGGGCGCCGCAAAAAACCCAAGGGGGTTCAGAAGAAACCTACGGGGGCGGAGGAAAACTCTGAAAACGCCGACACAATCCGACGGGGCGCCAAAACACCACAGGGGTGACGAAGCAAAACCGGCGACGCAACAGAACAGAGCAAACAACAAAACAAGCGCACGACCCATGCGCGGCTAGAATGGCCCGCTAACGAAACCATAACAAAACACAACACTAGTTGGAGCGAAATGCCCAAACGAGACACAAACAAACAAAAACAGCACGCCGCACGCGCCTAAACAAAACATACATCAGAACGCGTCGCCCAGAAAGGCGTCAAGCATCGTTTTCAGGATTCGCCCAGAATAAAGGCACAACGCGGTCAGACAGAAAAGCAGCACAAACGCACATACACACACCAATAACAACAGCAACAAAAACCTAGAAATCATAGCAAACCAGTGCTTAGGTAGCACCCCAGGACGGCCGTGGCCAGGCATGGTGGAGGTGTACAGACGCCGTCTGCGGGGGACAACATCCTGGGAAGGATAAGTGCTGCGTTCACCCGTGGCCACGAGAGGCCCCCACCCGAATTAATTGGGAGGCCAGCAAGCAGCAAAAAAATGACGACCACCACCACCGCCACGCCGAAGACGACGACCTCGACGATGACGGCAACAACGACGACGACGACGACGAGAACGACGACGACGACGACGAAGACGACGACGAAGACGACGGCGCCGGCGGCGACGACGACGACCTCGAGGAGGACGGCGAGGACACCAACGACGAGCTCTCGACGAGGGCGGCGACGACCTCGACGACGACCTCGACGAGGACGGCAACGACGGCGCTGCGACGACGGCGCTGTAGCGAGGGTGGCGACCACGTCCTCGCCGGCGGGTGCGTGCTCGGCCACGAAGTCCTGGATGTTTCGCGAAAGCGGGGCCAGGCGCTGCATCACCTCTCCGTCGCCAGGCGCCGTCACGTCGTCGTCGTCGTCGTCGCGGCCCTCAATGGCCCAGGTAGCGGCGTCGTCACCGTCATCGTCATAGTAGCAGTCGCCGTCGCCGCCGCCATCGCCGCCGCGGTTGTCGCCACGGTCGCCGGCGCCGCGCGAAGATCGGGAGTCGAGGCTCGAAGTTTCGAGGGCCGAGGTGATCGGACGCACCTGGACGGTCTGAGGTCCGTGGGGTCTCTGGGACGATTTTAGCAACCACGCTGCCCACTCATTGTCCGCAGCCGCCCGGCGCCGTTACGACACAAAGCACGCCCCGAAATTCGGCCCCCCCTCCTCTTCATGTGAAGTGGTCGCTGTGATGCACGCTGTGATGCACGGGTACTGTTTGAACTCCGCGCGGAGTCCTGCGATCTGCGCTGGAGATCCCCTGGCGGCGGAATTGAAGCAGGGACCGACCGGCCCAGCACTCCTATAGGCCTACCACGACAGGATCTTGGAACCCAAAAGTGTTCTAAGAACAAAAGCAATGTTTTTCGAACATAAGCCCGATGTGATAAAACAAGACAGTCCCAGCCAGAAATGTTCTAAGAACATGTCATGGGAACCACAGAAGGTTCTTAGAACATTACTTGGTAGGCCTACAGGCTCGCCAAGACGCTTCGCCACTGCTTGAACACAACGGCGGACGTACCCGTCGGCGCTCGGCGCGGAGTTTCTTGGATCGGCGCTCGGCCGGCAGGGCCGCCACGAGAGAACGGCCCGGGACGAAGCGAAGCAGCCCTGAGGGGCCCGGGAACGGGCAGGTAAGGAAAGGGGAGGGAAAGGGAAGGGCCGGGAGGGGAAGGGGAGGAGGAGGGACGGGAAGGAGAGGGGAAAGGAAGAGAGGGAGAGGGAGGGAGGGCAAGGGACGGGGAGGGAAGGGGAAGGAGGGAAGGGAGGGGCCCTGGGGGAGGGACCTGGGGAAGGGAAGGGGCCTGGGGAAGGGGAGACCACGCACCGAGCGAAGGGCGTCGGGGAGGACGACGGCGGCGCGGAGAGGAGGGGGAGGAGGAGGAGGAGGAGGAGGAGGAGGAGGAGGACGAGGACGAGGAGGGGGAGGAGGAGGACGAGGAGGAGGAGGACGAGGAGGAGGAGAAGGAAGAATAGGGGGGAGCAGGGAGCAGAAGCAGGATGATGCGCAGATCGGGGCGGCGCAAGGGTGAGTGAGGGGCAGAGGTGGGGTTAGAGGAAATCGGTCAACACGGTCCTTGCAAGAGGTAAACTTCAAGGGTATCCAGCTTCCCTGACCCAACCTTGGGACAACCCCCCTTTACGATCCCCCGAGCAGAAGACATGTGTACAGCACCACCACCATCACGCCTGGCCAGGGCCGTCCTGGGCCCTGGCACAAAGTGTATACCTTTTCTGGCCGAGGTCAGGAGGGTCTGTACACCACCCTCGGGCCCAGGATGACCGAGGTCAAACCTGGCGACGAGAAAGGGGGGTCCATCGCTGATTCAAAAAAACGCATTGAGATCCGAAACTTTGTGTATGCAGTTTTTCTTCTTCGATTAGGAACCCTTCGAACCTCTGGGGACATCGCCGCCATCGTCGCCGTCGCCACCGCCGCTGGGGGCGCCGTCGTCGTTGTCGGTTCTGCTGCCGCCGCCGCCATCGCAGGAGGGGTGACGAGCGGAGCGACGGGGCGTCGACCGAGGGGGTGAACCTCCCCAGGGTAGAAGGGAGGGGGGGGGGGTCTGGGT